GACGATTGCCAGATGAGTATATTGCTGTACGCAGATGACATCGTATTACTTGCGCCGAATGAACCATGTTTACAGAACATGCTTGATATTGTAACGGAATGGTGTGAAGCCTGGAAATTGTCGATAAACGATAATAAGACGAAGATAGTTCACTTCCGACCACTATCGATAGATATTTCGCAAAGTACGTTTACATGTGGTGGACATACTTTACTTTTTACCGATTCATACAAATACCTTGGTGTATGGTTGGATGAACACTTAACATTCCAGAAAAATGCCAAAGAACTATCTAAAGCCGCCAGCCGTGCTCTTGGTGCATTATGTGGAAAAGTAATAACAGCTGGAGGTATGACCCATTCCGTATTTACTAAGTTATACAACACAATGGTAGAACCAGTTCTTCTATACGGAAGTGGTGTTTGGGGATATAAGGACTATAGTTGCATCTCATCCGTTCAAACTCGAGCATGTAAATTCTTTCTGAATGTTGGAAAACCAACTTCAAACCTATCTACAAGAGGTGACATGGGTTGGACATCATGCAAAATTAAACTGCAGAAATCGTGTCTTCGGCTATTGTGCAAACTTCACAGACTTGAAAACAATCGACTCCCAAGTAAAATTTGGCGTTGGGCGGCGCGACGACGAAAAGGTTGGACTTTCGAAGTAAACAAACTTGTGACTAAACTTGATGTATGTGGACTTATAAATGACACATCTTTATCCACAAAATACGTTATGAAAATAATTAATGAAAAGCTAGAACAATTGGACAATCATCAATGGTGTAAAGACATTTTCAACGACCGTGGTACATTAAACGGAAACAAACTCCGTACATACAGACTATACAAACAAACTGTAAACGTTGAGTCATATGTAAAAATGAACATTCCACTTAACCAAAGGAGATATATGGCTATGTTTCGAGCCGGCTCGTTACCTCTGGCCTTGGAGACAGGTCGCTACTCCAGGCCGCAAGTTCCAATTGAAGATAGACTTTGTATATATTGCGATCTCGGACATGTAGAGACTGAAAAACATTTTCTGATGGAGTGCCCTTTATATGCAGACATAAGATATGATTTATTCTGTGAATGTAATTATTTAATTGAGAATTTTGATACAATGCATATGGACGATAAGTTTATATTTATAATGAGATCCGAGCAAATTCAGAAATGTCTATGTAAAATTTTACAGAAATGTTTTATGAGAAGGAAATTATTTACATTTGATTGAAGATATATACAATGTTTTATTTTGATAGCCTAGTTTTTGTCTAAGTTTTAAACATTAAGCATATTTGTTTTTCTCAAATCTTTATAATAAGGCAATTTTAGTCATTGAGATTTATATTTTTATTATATTTATTTTTATTTTAGAAAACAACTGTTAACTTTTTTTAATAAGAACTCTAATAGTGTATTTTATATAATTAATAATAACATTTTATATTTGATTGTATTTGGAAAGCGATTTAAAAAAAAAATAATAATTTATTAGATTTTTAATTCTAGAAATATTTTACAAATTAACATGCAGTTTATTGTATATATGTACATGTATGTTTTTAAAGTGTCTCATAAGTCAAATGTTTGGCTGGGCATTGATTGAATTTTAAAGATATTACTTAAATTCATTTGTATATATGTACTGTATCAATCAATGTGTGACACTCAAATAAAATATATTTATCCACTATAAAATGCTATACATGAATGACTTTTCATTGTAGATTAATTATGAAAGTGAACTCTTAACTAACGAAGTGTGTTACAAGCCCCTGAGGCAATTTCCATAGGAAACAACAAAAGAAAAAAAATCATGAATACTGTTGTTTGTCAAATTATTTTAAATGAAAATAAGATAATAGAATTATAAAACATCTTGAATTGAGTTTTGAATATTGCAAAAGTTATATAATGGTACATATATAGAACACACAAAAAATATGAAAAGGGGTTTAAACATGTAGGTAAAATAATATTTAATCAAATTTTTAAACGAGATCTTAAAGTCAGTGCTTTGTAAGAAACAATGACTGTGGATCTATAAGGCAAAGGCAATTTGGGAAAAAACAATGCATTCGTCAATAAAAAAAAGTAAGCATTTGATGTTCATGATGTTGGAAGGATAGTAATATTATCTTTTTATTAAGTTTTATCATTAATATACAAATATACTATTTCGAAAAGGTAATTTTTATAACATTATGTGCTTTTCAAAATGAAGGAATTTGAGATATAAAAAGATAACAAAATTTACCTGAAGCAGAAAAAACTCCATGTTTGAACAATTCATCCATTTGTCCTCAAGAAACTATATCAGTGCTATTACATTGCACCTGTTGAAATTACCATTAAATTTATGATTTACATCCCTTTTATTAACAATGTTAATAATTAAAATGAACTCATATTAAGGTCTGATAATTACAATTAGAAAGGGAAATTCAAATACATTGTGCTTAAGACTTTAGTTGACACAACAGTACAATGAAATGGTAGAAATTTTCGAAATTGTGAGTATGAGTGTAAATTATGTAATAATTTAATGAGGAATTATCTTTTTGTTTATTTACAGTTCAATTTAATAAAACAAAATCTAATTTGCATTCCACAAACAATTTTATTCCAGGTTTTTACATCAAATACTACTTAATTAACTAGAATTTAACAATTAAAAGAAAATGCTTTTTTTAAGAAATTCAAAAGTTACATTTGTAATTCAATTTCATGTATGTACCGATATATTGGAAATGACTATTCCTGCTAACTGCGGATACAGTAATCTGATTTTTGGTAAGCGTATTAGCTAAAGATTTAGGTTAAATTTAATTTTCAATGATTTTTTTTTCTTTGTCTTCTTTCACATTGCTTTGATAATGCTTTTTTTTTGTAATTTCGAAGTTCTAAATATTCACATAATAACATAAAGGATACCAATTATACTGCACAAGTAAACTTCAAACTTATTTTGATTTTATATTGTTGGTTTCAGAATTCGAGTCTCAATTAATAATCCTGTCATTTTGATAAATGTGCTTCGGGCAGTTGTGACTCATTTATATAAATTTTTTCTTTTGAACTGTAAATAGGCCTAAACAATAGGATAATCCCCTAATACTAAGAACATGTTTACATTCATTCTTCACAATTAAGAAACACTAAATTCTAAACTTTCATTGGTCGAGAGCACTTTGCTATATTCTAAGTTCAGGGTTGTTAAATAAATCTATATTAATTGTTTTCATGAACCCTAGCAGACTGTCTGAATGACCGTTCAAATCAATGTATAATGCAGCTGTGTATCTGTTATCACTTTTAATTACAAGCCGTATAGTTTATGACTTTCTTTGTTGATATTCTGTCTGTTGTGTGGTCTTGTGGTGAATGATACTTTGATGCGTGTGAGAAAGTATCCAAGGAACATAAAAAGTATGAGAATGTTGACATGCGACGTGCATATGCTTTACAAACGCAGTTATATATGAACTTGTACATAAAACATATTTAAATAAGAAATGGCGTTTTATAAACCATGTAGTACATAGGAAGCACCGTGAAAAAAACATCCTGTTATAATATCCCATAGTTAACAAAACTGTGTTGGCATATAATACTCAGGTTATAAGACTCTCGATTTTGACATAATTAATATTGGAACAAAGCATCCTGTTATTATATACCATAATTACATAAACTATGTGTGGCATATGATACTCAGGTTATTCCCCCAATTTTGAAATAAATTGAACAATAAAAATGTAATTGACTCCCATTCTTTATCGAATCAATAAGTTTCTGAGTAATTTTACTGAGGCTTCTTTTTTTTTCAAAAACCTATAATGTTCTTTAACATCTGGAAATTTCAAGCAGATAGATGTAAATTACGGCAAATTACGGCCATATAAGTAATCAATGTCAAATTACATATTAAAATTATATAATTATCCACAGAATACAATCCTTTTCTTCTCGAATCACAATTTAATCGTACTATTTAAACACAAATTACACAGATTTTAATATAATTTCAGTTCCCAATTTTTTCTGCCACTTTCAATCTGCAACTGAAGCGCCTTCTGAAATCAGATAACAACAGGGGAAATAACTAACTTTGTATTAAACCTTTCTCCAACATAAAGTCAAAGAGTTATGTCGCTTTATATAGTACCGCCAAGTTTGCCAAAAAAACATTTTCGATAAAAATTAACATTTAACATAAGTGGTAATTGTTATACTTGTGATATTTGTTATGATATTATTATTGGTTTGTAATAAAGGATCTAATCTTGCATTGGTTTAAAAGGGAAACACTTGCAACGTATGCATATTTCTCGGTATACGACAGATGCTCTTTCAAGCGCTTTCGCACTTTGATTTTTTAAATACATACACAACTTTTTAGATTCAAAACGATTTGGTATTGTATAGACACCTATCTATTTTCGAAGACTGCTATCTTTTGGTTGTTTGTGTCTAAGACGCGGATCCATCCATTTTGAAAAGGGGGGGGGGGGTCAAACCCCCGGAACACCATGAAACGTTCACATAATTGAAAAAAGGGAAAACAAATAGAAAAGAGGGGGGTTCCAACCCTCGGAACACCCCCTGGATCCGCCAATGTGTCTCACACCACATCTCCTTTTAATCATATAAACAATAATTAAAACAAGTAGGAAAATTAATAAATTGCACAACCGTAGTTGAATACAGATTTGTTTTAATTGTTATATATATATTTCGTTCGAGATAATGTTAAAGAATGTTTATGCAAATATGTTTCGGTCTATAAAGAATTATTGATAAATGGAACCCAGAGAAAAATAATTATTATTTTTTTCACGAATATACAAGTTAATTGAATTTGTATATTCATTTTTTCAGATGTCACTCAGTAAGTTTATCAACGAAGCCAGCGATGTACTTTTCCGTTTTAATCTGTTTTCCATTCCACATTCCTCTTCTACATTTAACATTTGGTCGGATGATCATACCCAAAAAAAATTGTATCAATACCTTGGTGAATTCGAAGAGATGGAAGCGATGGAAGAAAAGGAGAATTCTACTTTGTTATCCGTTTTAGAACGCAAATTATCAGAAGAAAGTAATGTGTGTTCACAACAGCTTTGCCAACAATCAAATCAAATGCTGAAATTATTCACAGGTTAGTCTAAAACAGAGTGGGCAACCTACGTCACATGCGGCGTTAATTTCGTACACCCAAAACAAGTTGCTTTCTTTAAAAAAAAAAAAAAGCAATACGTGAACCCAAGACCGCTGACATGTTGCTGAATTTTTGTTTGCTTTTGAATTGAAACAATTGACTGGATAGAATAAGATAATGATGATGTTAAAACACCTTTATTAAAAATATGTAATTGTGTGTAGATTCTTGCACAAGTCAGTTGAAAACAATGTTGGATAGTTGTGAATAGAAAAGTGTATATATACAGCTACTATTTGAATATACATTTTAAGGCTCGACTATTTTATTCATTACTTGGGAGTGTACATCTTTTATAACCCTTTTGCAAATCCAAGTTTCTACAAACCGGATGTCTAATGCAAATTGCACAAATCAATCGCAATATAAATTTAAGCAATCAGTTTGCTTTATAATCTGAATGCATTTATCTTATCTATCATATCTTCATATTTTGTTTCCTGGATTCCTTCAATTATTCTCAACTCGTTATTGAAGCTGTCTGTACTCATGGTAGATGTTGTATAGATAAATTTAAAGTCCAATTTCCAGGTGAAGGTAAACCCTGTGGCATGCAACTTATAAGAAGGTTTCGTATATTTTTCTTGAGAGTAACACACCAGCTTCATTGGTACCTTTTATAAAGAGACTTATTTTGGTGTCATAAAACATCTCAAATTTTAAGGATTTCCTGATTTTACTTAAATCAATCCACATATTCTACAGGAAAACTTGGTTTTGAAGAATATCTTGTTTTCAGAAGTTTTTTGAAACCTGAACATACTCTCAAAAGAACCAATTTATATAAAAAGATATGTAGATATAAAAAGATACCAGGATTACGATGTTGTACGCCAGACGCGAGTTAAATCTACAAAGAATCATCAGTGATGCTCAAATAAAAAAGTTTAAAAGGCCAAATAAAGTACGAAGTCGAAAGGATTTCAGGACCCAAAATTTCGAAACAAAGGTTTTGCCAAATACATCTAAAGTAATCTATTCCTGGGGTAGAAAATCCTTAGCATTTCGAAAATGTTAAAGTTTATAACAGGACAGTGACTCAAAAAAGAAAAGAAAAGAGAAACAGCTAGAGGTCAGAATACCGTAAGTAATGATGACCGTGCTTGAAAGTTAGATGTCAAGCTCTTACGGCCGTGTCCTGAATTTAGATAAGAAAAGCGAAAATTCGCAATCATAAGTGAAATTAATATTTATGTATGCACGTGGTATTTTTGCGCAAAAAATAGTTAATAGAAAGCATACGCACTGTACTCTGGATAAGAATACGCATTTGTGTCATCACATATATTAATCTAATTGTTGAATTCGGATGTATCCTGACTCCGGATTCATTGCCATTTAATCCGGAATTTGTGTGAACAGGGTGATGTATAATGTGAATGAACCAAGACGTGTAGGATAGCTAGTCAAAACAATGAATACAATTTTCAAAATCGTACCATAGTGCAAATATTTAGATGCTATAAGGTTGAACTATTAAAACAAACAAATAAAAAAAAGAGTTGAAATTTTATAATTAACATACATTCCTTTAAATGAATTTTTTTCCGAAATTTTAAAATATAATATCAATAAACACAAACGTCAAGTTTTCACGGATGGACATTTTATTTATCAAATCAATCTCTACCTAAAGTCTAACATTCCAATATATGAATATATTATACAAAATATAAGCAGAGACTTATAAATCCATACTAAAACAGTATAAAATAATTAACATAGTATTTAAATTTTGTTATGATTATTGTAAAATATTAATTACGTTTTGTGTGATTTAAAATCCTTGTGAATTGAAACCATGCAAGTATTTTTTCATTCACGCCCATTAAAATTTAGATATTTAGCTAGCTTTGAGTACGCATCCCTGCTCATTGCATGGTGCTCATACGTTGCATATAATTTTCATTAATGTAATGACTGTTCAAACCTGTGAGACATAATGCACGTATATATGACAGTTTTAATTATATTCTATTAAGAATAAATTCAGTCTCAGTTTAAACTTAATAATGAATATTCTCTTGGTCTGGTAGTATCTATTAATGAAATTATATATTTTTTTACAGAAAAATCCTTTTGTTTAATTATCTTTCTGCTTTCCGACCACTGTGTTTCCGACCACTGTGTTTCCGACCTCAGATAAATATTTATAACAGAAATATCGTTTTCTTAATTTTCTTCATGCTTTCCGACATTTTCCCATGCTAAGATTGAAATACAAAATATCAAATGATAAACGTTCAGAAATAATCAGTTTATTCTGGGACATTATATATCAATAAACAATTCCCATGTGTATTGTCACAATGCACAACAGCACGCTGTATTAAATACTACACACACAACGCGTACAGGGACCGTCTCAAAGCATGAATTATATAATTGCGTTATCATTATACTTGATATTTAATAAACATTCGCATTATTAAAAAGACATATGTTTTGTCAAAAAGCAAATATGTTCTAACATATAAATGATTTTTTGACTGCAACCTAGTCTTTATTGTTTTACTTTCCAATCTACAAATGAACTTTGATTTATAATGAAATATGCAATGTCACGTGGAAGCCTATCCATAGAGGGACCGTATCAAAGACATAGATAACTACCTGTATAAATGATCGAAAAATTACGAGACGTTCCGAGAATCTTGATTCCGAGGATATCAAATGGCCCATAGACACTTCCAAAACTCACCAATATGTAAGCATGAACCCCTCAGGGGGTTCACGCAAAAAGAGTGAAAAATGCTTCACGGTTAACTGTCTGCATAGTTCTCTCTTGAGCATTGTTATCATATAATTGATTGTTGTGCAAAGTACTTTACCACAGGATAGTTATCACCAAATGTCATTAAGGTCACACACAAACTGCCAGTTTCAAATACATCAACACTTGCAGTTCTCCGAAAAGAAAAGTTCTCCACAACACTTGCAGCCGTCCGAGAGAAACGTTCTCCGTAACATTTGCAGCCGAAATACTCCAGATAAGAGCAATATTAAAGGAGTCTGTATCATTTTTGACGAAAACTTTTCATTCACACTTAATAAAGGACGAATAATGCCTATCTCATACTTCCGATATAATACTCTTGCTATATAAGCAAAAGTGTTCTTGTACATTTTCTGAATAAAAACGTTGTTGACTTCAATTTTGTTTGAAAATTAAAAAAAAATATATATACAACTAAAAAGGTAAGAAGAAAAGAATTAATAATTTAATTTGCAGTTCCTATATGACCACTGTTTAGTCTTTCATCTTTGTATTTTTGACAGATTTTGCAGCTGGTCAAACACAAGAGACACAACGTTCCTCATTTTTGTTATACCAGCTTTTATGTCATGTTTGTGGATCACCCCATGTTACGGATGGGACGCGCCTCCTTTATAAAGTATTGGATGATTGTACGAAAATAAGTTTTCAGTATACAAATATCAGCAGTGGTAGCCGAGCAGAGGGAGTTCATATACCAGAATGTGATTATGACATCATGACTATCCTTGAACAAATCGTCGTATGTGACGAAAGTTCTATTGTCGATGACTCAAAACCTTCATTAATTTGTAATACAGAAAACTCTTATCCAGGTTTTGCACATTTAATTATTCCACCTGGAAGTCATTATTCGGAAGATTTGAATCGTATCTGGGGAGTCAAATCCGTTTGCGGTCCCGTTGTTTCAAACAGCCGGTTTAAAGAGTATTTCATGAATAATTATCGGGATAACAATATCCGTATTCATGGGCCGTGCATATCACCAGACGATGATACCGTTGATCATCTTTTCTATTTTCGAAGTAAAACATGGCCGACAATATCTAGTCAATGGTTATATAGGGTGGCAGGTCGTGAATGGCCAACTACCGATGTCGTAGCGGAAATTCTAGACCAGGGTATTTTAATTGTACCAATAGGAAGTAAATTCGGTGCGGAAGAAGACTGTCCTACTGAATGGCGTCTTTCGTTCTCATTGGCAGAAAGAGAACTGATTCACTCGTGGAATCATACACAACTATTGTGTTACATATTTTTCAAATACATCAAGAAAGATTTGATGAAGGTCTTGCCATTTGGAAAACTAATTTGCTCCTATTTCATTAAAACGACATTGTTCTGGCTCAGCGAAGAAAATTCACCAAAAGATTGGAATCCTAACAATTTTCTGGCATGTTTTCATGAACTACAAAAACGTCTCATGTACTGGTTAAGGTATGGTTTCTGTCCGCATTATTTTATACCAGAGAATAATCTGTTCGATGGGATACTAAATGATGAATCTAAAATGATTTTAGAAAACGCAATAAAAAACCTTTTAACTCTTGTATTACACAGCACCCACTATGGTAAGGCATTTAGAACTTTTCATTTACACGAGCTTCAAACATATTCTTCGTCAGACACAGCATTTATGGAAAAGAAGGTTGCCATTCTCTCACTTCTTAAGCTCTTACGCTTAACTTTAAAATCATGTACTATAAAACAAATTCATGCAATCCTATTAAAGTCTCTTCATCGACTGTTAAAACAGAAACAATCATACTTCCCTAAAGGGATCTATTTATTAGCAGTTTGTTATGCAAATCAAATATATGCTGAAAGGTTAAGTTTGGACTCACAAAATAACAAAAAAAGGTATATATCTCACAAAAATATCATGTCACGTTTACTGATTGGTACAAATTCAGACGCAATAGCTGGCTGGTCACTAGTAGCCATGTATTTTTGCAAAAATAAACAATACAATGCTGCACTGCAGCTCATAGGCGTGATCTTGCAAAAGGGTGCGAAAGAAAATAAACTGTTATTAACCTTCGTCGACATTAAGGACATGATGAGATATTTTACTGTTAAGGCTGATACAAGATGGCACCGACGTCAATCGTTTTTGCAGAGGACCAAGAACTTATGTATGGATATAATATATCAAACACCAACTTCTTCATGGCTATTGGAGGAACTCTAAATAGATACTAGTACTGGGTTCAAATGTTGGAGAGTCCATCCTGTGATATTCGCACACTTTCTACACTTTGTAATTTTCAACAGAACTGGAAATATAACAAGAAGAGATCGAGCACTACGGGATATTATAATTTCAAACCGAGAAAGTCGTATTCCAGGTTTCTATAGAGAACGGCTTACTACGTTCCTTCTACTGACGATAGCTTACAGATTAGTGAATGATAAACTGGCCGCTGAATACTGGTTGTCCCATGCTTATAGATTCGGGAAGAAATTTTCTTGATATAATAGAAAAACAAAGGATATGGGGTATCCATCCATGACACAAAATCAGTACATGCACAGCAAAAAAACATACAATAAGCAATGGAACAGCGCTTTTATTGCTGTTCTTCATCTCAAAGTCAAAGTGAGGCCTTCAAAATGGCTGTTTTTTTTATAAATTTTTTTTTGCACACCTTGATTCCGTTGATTTGGTGATGAGTTATATGCTTAATATTATTGTACAACTGGTTGTGAACAGATTAAACACTTTTGGAACTATTATTTGTCTTTCATATGACCTTTCTTTGCTGTTTGTTTTACAAAACTAATGATGAATAATGCCTATAAAAAGAGAAAAGAAATAACAACGAAAATTTAGGGAAAACATTAAACTAACCGAATTGTTCATGATATAATAGTCATTTGATGTCATGTTATATTACTTACCAGTTTAAAAACAGCTACCTACATGCAAATTCTAAAATGAGTTTAAGTACTATACTAAAAGAAAGAATTTGTACAAGTTTATTCACACAAGTCTTTTTTGCTTTAGAGCTTGAAAAGTTTGTGAATGAAATCTAATTTGTTGTTTTCTAACTCAAGGGTAGTACCAGTTTTCCGAATTTGTTTCACTGACGATGTCACATTCAAGTTCCTAATTATCTGTATGGTATCGGTATTCTTTAGGGTGCATATACACAGCCACGTCCGATTAGCTGTGTGATTACACGGCCACCCCACAAAGTAATCAAAGTTGCATGATTAGGACTGGAATGAGGGAGATTCTGCGCTGTAAAACCGGTAACAACCCACCATGTAAGACAATCACCAATATTCAATCATAGACGATCGTTTGTAAAAACCTAGCCTGAATATATACACCAGGATTTTTCAAAGAAAATACCTTGATGATTATTATATTTGTTATTCCCTATTCTCGTTTACCACATAGGCTAAGTATATTGATTGTTAAGGGAACAACCATTTAGCTTCAAAGGTGGGGGGAGGGGGTTATGGTTATTAGTCCGAAATTTTTTTTCGCGCGAACATTTTTTTTTTAGTTTTTCGACGCTATCAATCAAATTATTTTTTTCAAAATGTAACATTATAAGGTATGGGGAAAATCTGGATTCAGAATATTTTTTTTTGTCATCTGCTTGACCACAAAATGTTTTTTCATCAAATTGGGGATCAGAATATTTTTTCAGGGAAAAAAAGGGTCGTTCCCTAAGTAACCTTAGTGATCTTCCGCTGCTTTTTTTAGGACAACACTGACGGAATGCTTTAAGTCAAATATTAATCTTATCATCAGCATTCAACTACCTTAGATCTAATGTTGTTTTATTGAAGCTAAGCGTACATTTCTCTTTTTTTTCAAATAAATCATTTTTAGTGGGTTTTTTTTCTCCGATGGAAAAAAGATGCAGCAGATAATTTAGGGGCAATTAATTTTCATGTGTCGATAAAAAAAACAGACAAACAATGGCCAACAAGTAAAACGACGAACAGTTGTTAACAAAGCACTATGCGAAAAACTAAAGACTGAGCAACACCATTCGACCAAAAACCGGTGGTGATTTCAGGTGCCCCGGAAGGCTTAGAAAAAGCATATTCTGATACACTAGTGACACCCATCGTATTGCTCCTAGCAAGTAAAATTTCGTAGTAAAGTCGCAGCCGGTGTAGTCCTATAATATAAGCCTTCGTGTGTCCACATCGTTTGCTTTCAACGTTTTTTTGTGTCTATCGTTATGTGATAGATGCGTTAATATGAATAAAGGAAACAAGACAAGAAAACAACACTGTGCCTTCGATTTTGATTTTTACGTGAATGGATTTTGTGTCATGCATTGATACAGATTATCCCTTGCTTAAGAATTAGAAAATTCTTGAAGTCCTGAAATGCATTATTCATGTTAATATAAAAAAAAGGAGATGAGGTATGATTGCCAATGAGACAACTATCCATCAAAGTTCAAATAAAGTGGATGTAAGCAATTATATATAGGCAACCGTACGGCCTTCAACAACGAGAAAAACCCATACTGTATAGTCGGCTATAAAAGGCCCCGACATGAAAAATATGAAACAATGCAATTGAGAAAAACTAACGGCCTAATGTATAACAAAATAATTTACGAAAAACGAATATGACATACATGAACCAACGACAACCACTGAACTACAGGCTCCTGACTTGGGACAGGCATATACAGATTGTGACGGGGGTTAAACATGTTTGTGAGCGCTCCACCCCCTCCCCTTACCTGGGACAGTGGTGCAACAGCACAACATAAGAACAAACTATAAAAATCAGTTGAAAAAAGCTGTTCCAATTAAAGAAATCGACGTTTACGAGTCATTAGCTGGATCCTATGTGCCACCAAAACCACTGACTACGGTTAACGATAAAAACAAAACAAAGAATAAATCAAATACTTAGGTTCTGCAAAGTATAGCTTAAAAAAATATGATTTTGGTTGATGTAGTATTCATTGGTTAAATCAAAAGTGACCCCAGCAATATTTCCAGTTGTGTTCTTGACATTAAGCTTACAATAGTCCAGTTGACCAAATGTTTTTTTTCTGACAGTAAGTTTAAAAGTAGTTGGCAGTACATGTAGCTGTAGAGTACTTGACATCAGCTTTTTTCTGTGGTGTTCTGACAGTAAGTTTAAAAGTAGTTGGCAGTACATGTAGCTGAAGAGTACTTGACATCAGATTTTTACTGTGGTGTTCTGACAGTAAGTTTAAAAGTAGTTGGCAGTACATGTAGCTGAAGAGTACTTGACATCAGATTTTTACAGTAGTGTTCTGACAGTAAGTTTAAAAGAAGTTGGCAGTACATGTAGCAGTAGAGTACTTGACATCAGCTTTTTATCGTGGTTTTCTGACAGTAAGTTTAAAAGAAGTTGGCAATCAAAGTAGCTGTAGAGTAATTGACATCAGATTTTTACTGTGGTGTTCTTACAGTAAGTTTAAAAGTAGTTGGCAATACATGTTGTAAAGTACTTGACATCCGCTTTTTACCGTGGTGTTCTGACAGTAAGTTTAAAAGTAGTTGGCAGTACATGTAGCTGTAAAATACTAGACATCAGCTTTTTACCGTGGTGTTCTGACAGTAAGTTTCAAACTAGCTGTAGAGTAATTGAGTACATGTAGCTGTAGAGTACTTGACATCAACTTGTTTATCGTGGTGTTCTGACAGTAAGTTTAAAAGTAGTTGGCAATCAAAGTAGCTGTAGAGTGATTGACATCAGATTTTTACTGTGGTGCTCTGACAGCAAGTTTAAAAGTAGTTGGTAGTACATGTAGCTGTAAAGTACTTGACATCAGCTTTTTATCGTGGTGTTCTGACGGTAAGTTTAAAACTAGTTGGCAATCAAAGTAGCTGTAGAGTAATTGACATTAGATTTTTATTGATGTGTTCTGACAGTAAGTTTAAAAGTAGTTGGCAATCAAAGTAGCTGTAGAGTAATTGACATCAGATTTTGACTGTCGAGTTTTGACATTAGATTTTTTACTGTGGTGTTCTGACAGTAAGTTTAAAAGTAGTTGGCAGTACATGTAGCTGTAAAGTACTTGACATCAGCTTTTTAAAGAGGTGTTCTGACAAAAAGTTTAAAAGTAGTTGGCGATCAAAGTAGCAAAGTAGCTGTAGAGTAATTGAGTACATGTAGCTGTAGAGTACTTGACATCAGCTTGTTTATCGTGGTGTTCTGACGGTAAGTTTAAAAGTAGTTGGCAATCAAAGTAGCGTAGAGTAATTGACTTCATATTTTTACTGTGGGGTTTTAGACATCAGATTTTTACTGTGGTGTTCTGACAGTAAGTTTAAAAGTAGTTGGCAATACATGTAGCTGTAAAGTACTTGACATCCGCTTTTTACCGTGGTGTTCTGACAGCAAGTTTAAAAGTAGTTGGCAGTACATGTAGCTGTAAAATACTAGACATCAGCTTTTTACCGTGGTGTTCTGACAGTAAGTTTCAAAGTAGCTGTAGAGTAATTGAGTACATGTAGCTGTAGAGTACTTGACATCAACTTGTTTATCGTGGTGTTCTGACAGTAAGTTTAAAAGTAGTTGGCAATCAAAGTAGCTGTAGAGTGATTGACATCAGATTTTTACTGTGGTGCTCTGACAGCAAGTTTATAAGTAGTTGGTAGTACATGTAGCTGTAAAGTACTTGACATCAGCTTTTTATCGTGGTGTTCTGACGGGAAGTTTAAAACTAGTTGGGAATCAAAGTAGCTGTAAAGTAATTGACATTAGATTTTTATTGATGTGTTCTGACAGTAAGTTTAAAAGTAGTTGGCAATCAAAGTAGCTGTAGAGTAATTGACATCAGATTTTGACTGTCGAGTTTTGACATTAGATTTTTACTGTGGTGTTCTGACAGTAAGTTTAAAAGTAGTTGGCAGTACATGTAGCTGTAAAGTACTTGACATCAGCTTTTTAAAGAGGTGTTCTGACAAAAAGTTTAAAAGTAGTTGGCGATCAAAGTAGCAAAGTAGCTGTAGAGTAATTGAGTACATGTAGCTGTAGAGTACTTGACATCAGCTTGTTTATCGTGGTGTTCTGACGGTAAGTTTAAAAGTAGTTGGCAATCAAAGTAGCGTAGAGTAATTGACTTCATATTTTTACTGTGGGGTTTTAGACATCAGATTTTTACTGTGGTGTTCTGACAGTAAGTTTAAAAGTAGTTGGCAGTACATGTAGCTGAAAAGTACTTGACATCAGCTTTTTACCTTGGTGTTCTGGTAGTAAGTTTAAAAGTAGTTGGCAATCAAAGTAGCTGTAGAGTAATTGACATCAGATTTTTACTGTGGTGTTCTGACAGTAAGTTTGAAAGTAATTGAAAGTAAATGTAGCTGTAGAGTACTTGACATCAGATTTTTACTGTGGTGTTCTGACAATAAGTTTAAAAGTAGATGAAAGTACATGTAGTAGTAGACTACGTTGCATCAGATTTTTACTGTGGTGCATTGACAGTAATTTTCATTGAAGTTGGCAGTACATGAAGGTGCAAAAGTACACCTTGTAGGTAATATTCTGTGAAGTTCACAAAACTTGGTAATGTAGTGCAGGATTAGTTGGGACGTAATGACCATCACTATATATTGTACCTCCCACTTCAGAAAGCAGGGTTATTTGTCATTTCAGTGCCTTTTATGGCCGACTATGGGGTATGGGTTTTGCTCATTGTTGAAGGCCGTACGGTGACCTACAGTTGTTAACTTCTATGTCATTTGGTCTTTGGTGGAGAGTTCTCATTGGCAATCAAACAACATCAAATTATTTTTATATTTAAAATTTAACGATGTTTTGTGGGTTTCACTGTACTGTATGTGACAGTAAGGCAATACACAAAACTATAAAACTAAACAATACAATGCGAGACAAATTAATTTACACTACCTACAGACACAGCAAGAAAGGCATAATTGATTTTTATCCTGCAAATAAACATTCATGCTTCCGCATGCTTTTCTTAAACTGTTTATGAGGTCTTTATGCTATATCCTTTGGAATGTACTGGTTGAAACTTTAGTACGGGCAGGAACATATATATTGACTAGATATACTGTTCCCAGGTACGGGAGAACATGATTTATTCATTAGTTGTCATTATTGGCTTTGAACTAGCTTTCAGTAACTACAATAATCTTACATCGTAATTGTCTTTTATCTTTATGTTAGTTGTTTTTGGGTGCTTTGTGCCGATCTAATTTCAATTCATTTACAATAGTCACAGGTTAAGGGAGGGTTGATGGCTCACAAACATGAATAACCCTGCCACAATCTGAAGGTGTCTGCCCCAATTCTGGAGTCTGTAATTGAGTGGATGTCGTTGGTTGCCGTCTGTTATCTGTTTTTCCTTTTATCTTTGTTTCACATTTCGTCATGTCTAGGCCTTTTAATAGGGACTACTTTACTCATTGTTTCAAACCATAAGGGTACCAATAATTGATTAAATCCATGTCATTTGGACTTTGTTGGATAGGTGACTCATTTGCAATCCCAGATCTCCTTATTTTATATTCAATGTCTCATTCCCAGCTGCAGTCTTTATATAAAAAGCAACGTTAGTTGGAACTTAATTGTTAAAAGGACAGCAAAATTGTCATTTGCTTATAATAGAAGCAGGATACTAGGATAAAATGTTTGTATACTCTACGAATATCTCACAAGTTTATTGGTAAAGCTTTGTTTTTAAAGTCAATTTGCCAATTTAAAGATACAATTTAATGTAATGCACTTGAGAAAATATGTGTTTTGTTTTCTTGTGTTGTGCAGCTACAATCACTGTCTCAGGTTAGGGGGAGGGTTTGCACCTACAAACATGTTTAATCCCGCCACATTCTGTATGTGCCTGTCCCAAGACAGGAGCCTGTAATTCAGTGGTTGTCGTTTGTTGCTGTGTATCATTTGTTTTGTACATAACTCAGGCTGTAACTCATCTTATTTGAATTGTTTTACATTGTAATTTCAGGATCTTTTATAGCTTACTCTGCGGTAAGGGTTTTGCTCATGGTTGAAGGCTGTACAGTGACCTATAGTTCTTAACTTATATGTCATTTGGTCTCTGGTGCAGAGTTGTCTCATTGGTAATCATACCATATCTTTTTATTTTTTTATTTGTAAAACCTTTTTTTTGTAACAATTTGTTGTAAAGGTCAAAAATATACAGTAACATAAACAAAGCGTATTTTATAGATATATATTTATAATTCCAATATTCAAATAGTTAATATTAGATCAATATTATATATTGATGCTTAAATAAAAATTCTGATTGGGTTTAAATTCCATGTGGAATATTTATGGACTAGATAACAATCACTGAGCAGACATAACAATACAAATGCAAGAGAAAATACATAAAATAAACAAAAAACTGGCCTTTAATTAAAAATACATCCGGTAGAAGTTAGAGGACTATATGCAAAACTACTGATGTAAGTTTAATCACAACAGAACATAAAACAGGGAGTACTGTAGACTGTTTGAGAAATGCAATAATAATATTATCAATAAAATATTAGTGTGTTGAGCTAGCATATTACTGTGCATAGGATACCAAATTTCGTGGATAAAGGTTAACCATGAAATTTTAATTATCGACAAAAAAGAAATTTTGTATAGACTTGTATGCATGATTTTGTAAAACCATGAAATCAAATATCCATGAAAATGCAATTTTTCCTAAATCTACAAAAATTGGTACCCACGAAAATAAATGAATCCACAGTATATTATATCTGTCCATGGCTAATCTTGACCACTTCATTCATTGTAAAACTGTCAAAAAAATTGTACTAGTTACTGATTGAAAAAAAAGAGCAGTGTTAAATTTGTCCATGAGTGAAGTACAAAAATGCTGGACAAACAAAACCACAAATCATCAAAACTTACAAAAATGAGACTTCCATCTACCCTTTACTTGTTTTAAAATTTCAGGCATATTAGTTATAAAACTCTTGCTTAATTGTTGATGCAATTAAAATCAAAATGGAAATTTTTGTTTCAACACTATATCAATTTTTAAGAAAAAATCTATGCATTTGTAATTAGATTTGATGATTTTAAGACAAATTTAAGAAAGTTTTTCATCAATGTTATGTGCTTTCTATACAAATGTTCACCTATTTTCAAAGAATTCATTTTGTAATATTTCAGAAAATAAAAGAGATAAATGCATTTTCAGTTATAGTTCAAAGAGCCAAAGTTGTATGCAGACTTTTACCAAAATCTGTGACATAGCCAATTTACTGTGCCTTACCCTTAAGGTTATAGAGAAGATTTTGAATGCTAATTTTGCTAAATTGGCTATATATAAATATGTATTTATAATCGACATTGTACAGTACTTACTTATTTGAGTTACTAATGATATATTCCTATAATGTTATGAAACTCTCTGGCACTTTAAAAATAACATTCAGCTCTAGTTACTCCAATTTTTTTTTCAATATGCAACTACATTTTAGTGCAGATTAAAAGAGCATAGAACCAGACTCAAACACTTTTAAGCCATATTTTCAAAGATAATAAAATAAAGTGTTAACACAGAGATATGTCTCCCCTTTTAGCTATTTTGATAGTAAAATGCAAATGTTGAAATTAAAATGATAAATATTCAGTCAATGAACCATGACTGAAGGTACAGGGCCAAACAATCTCCGAGGAAATGAGATGTGGCAATGCTAATACAACTGCATATCAAATAGTATTGACCTACCACTAGTGGTTCCCCATAAACTGACCTAATCACAAACTTATACATGAAAACTAACCAAAAGTTTCAAAGTCAATAGACCATGAGTGAAGGGGTGGGTCCAAATAATCTCCATGGAAATGAGATGTGCCAATGCTTATACAACTGCATACTAAATAGCATTGACTTACCACTAGTGGTTCCCAATAAACTGACCTAATCACAAATCAATAAATGAAAACTAACCAAAAGTTTCAAAGTCAATAGACCATGACTGAGGGGGTGGGTCCAAATAATCTCCATTGAAATGAGGTGCCAATGCTTATATAACTGCATACTAAATAGCATTGACCTACCACTAGCGGTTCCCCATAAACTGACCTAATCACAAACTAAAACATGTAAACTAAGCAAAAGTTTCAAAGTCAATAAATAGACCATGACTGAGGGCTGGGGCCACATAATCTCCATTGAAATGAGATGTGCAAATGCTAATACAACTCCATACCAAATATCATTGACCTACCTCTAGAGGTTCCCCATAAACTGACCTAATCACAAACTAATACATCGTTGACGCTGCGCATACACCTCCAGAAACAGCATACCTATGTCTCGCTTTGTCAAGGTGAGACAAAAATTGATGTAAAAATATTTACACTACCCTATGTGTAATGGTCATCTCATTGAAAGAATAGTAAAGTTGATTTTGCTAGTATCTACCAATCAGTTTTAGAATGAAAGAAAGGATCATAAATAAATAGAAATATGTGCACTAATACACAAAATACAGTATTAAATAAAAGTATGTATGCAAATTTATATAGCAATAAGAGTTCATAAAGCCATACAGAAATTATATGGAGAACTAATTCTCATTTAAATATATAAAGCATTACATCAAAAACAAATAGTGACTAATTAACACAATGTTATGCACTTTCAACAATCTCATCAGGTTCTTAACCTTCATACATATATGGATAAAGAAAGTTCCATTGAGAAAGGAGTTTATTAGCAAACAGGAGTAAAAGAAAACATAATGTGTCCATTGGACAGAAAATCACAAGAGTGCACACGCTGAAATGTCTCGCCTTCTTTACTAATCATTGATATTATGTTGATAGTCCTAAATATAAAGCTTTATTACAACTGTCACATAAACTTAACATTAACCAAGTAAACTAAACATTGACCAATGAACCATGAAAATGAGGTCAAGGTCAGATGAACCATGCTAGGCAGGCATGTACAGCTAACAATTCTTCCATACAACAAATATAGTTGACCTATTGCTTATAGTTTAAGAAAAACAGACGAAAACACAAAAACTTAACACTGAGCAATGAACCTTGAAAATAAGGTCAAGGTCAAATAAAACCTGCATAACTGACATATAGATCATAAAATATTTCCATACACCAAATATAGTTGACCTATTGCATATAGTATTAGAAAAAAAGACCAAAACTCAAAAACTTAACTTTGACCACTGAACCATGAAAATGAGGTCAAGGTCAGATGACACCTGCCAGCTAGACATGTACACCTTACAATCATTCCATACACCAAATATAGCTGACCTATTGCATGCAGTATTAGAAAGAAAGACCAAAACTCAAAAACTTAACTTTGACCACTGAACCATGAAAATGAGGTCAAGGTCAGATGACACCTGCCAGCTAGACATGTACACCTTACAATCATTCCATACACCAAATATAGTAGACCTATTGCATACAGTATAAGAAAAACAGACCAAAACACAAAAACTTAACTATAACCACTGAACCATGAAAATGAGGTCAAGGTCAGATGACACCTGCCAGTTGGACATGTACACCTTACAGTCCTTCCATACACCGAATATACTAGACCTATTGCTTATAGTATCTGAGATATGGACTTGACCACCAAAACTTAACCTTGTTCACTGATCCATGAAATGAGGTCGAGGTCAAGTGAAAACTGTCTGACGGGCATGAGGACCTTGCAAGGTACGCACATACCAAATATAGTTATCCTATTACTTATAATAAGAGAGAATTTAACATTACAAAAAATCCGAACTTTTTTTTCAAGTAGTCACTGAACCATGAAAATGAGGTCAAGGACATTGGACATGTGACTGACGGAAACTTCGTAACATGAGGCATTCATATACAAAATATGAAGCATCCAGGTCTTCCATCTTCTAAAATATAAAGCTTTTAAGAAGTTAGCTAACGCCGCCGCCGCCGCCGGATCGCTAAACCTATGTCGAGCTTTCTGCGACAAAAGTCGCAGGCTCGACAAAAATCATAAAACAACCTGTTATTACACAGTAACAATCAAAGAACTTTTAAAACCTATCAATATAAAATTTTAGATTGCTGTATTTTTTATTGAATGCAAATTTCAATGCATTTAGTGTAGACCCTTCTGCTTTAAGATCCAGGAATGCTCAGAAACAGTGAAAATAGATCCCTTTCCCTGAAAATGTATGTGTAGAAATGTAAAGTTTGCCAATTACAGAATTACAGAATAATGCTTTTAATATTGCAAATGTGCATCTTTTTTTTAAAGAATCTACTGAAATCGAGTAAAAAAATCACTCAACATACAAACAATCTTACTTTGATGAAGATAAGTTTTAAAGTTTCAAATATACAAAAAATGTGCTTGAAATTATGATTGTACTAACCAAAAAAGTGTTCACCAGAATATATAGCTTTATTTTTGTGCTGAGACAGCATAAAGCAAACATCAACCAATCAATCAATTCTTTTTCAGTCTTTCATTTGGTTTCATATGCTCATCGTTATGACTATTAACATAAACTACATTTGGTTTCAAATGCTTATCGTTATGACTATTAACATAAACTACATTTGGTTTCAAATGCTTATCGTTATGACTATTAACATAAACTACATTTGGTTTCAAATACTTTTAATTGAGACTATTAACATATAATATAAGATTTATGCAAGAACAAAAATTCTGTTTTTATCCTATTAAAGAAATCCTTTTACAAAAGTTTTTACTTATCTATATTTAAACTTCTTTTTAGTCCCATTTCAAATTGCCCTTCTTCTATCTAAAACTTTTTAGAATGGGTCATAGCTTTTGATATGATTTTATTTTATTACAGTTAATGTTTAAATCTGACATAAGGATAAGGATGTACCATGAAACCTGCTGTGACCTTGAAATTTGAATACAAGATCTTGAAATTATATAGGCTTTACACAATGTCCATGACAAAACAATGCACATTGTTTGATGGAAGATAGAAACAAGACTTGTTAAAATCTATTTCATTTGATCTCTGGTGGAGAGTTCTCTCATTGGCAATTATACCACATCTTCTTATTTTTATATTGATCTATACAGTAACTACCATAGTGTTATGGACGCAAACGTGAAGGAGTCATTACTTTGTCCTTTCAGCAACTTCACTGCACATGTAATGCACAATTATTAATGGTAATTTGAAGAAAAAAATACTCTTACTTAAGGCAATGTTACCTTAATGCTGTGTCACCAGCCCCTGATCTTTAAAAACATTAAATAAAACATTTTTTTCTTAATTCATCATTTTTTATGCTTTTACTGGGAATGTATTATATATTTTTATATATGAGATGTCTGATATTAATCTATAGAAGAGATCATGACTTTTTTTACTTGAGCAGCAATTCATGTCATAATCTAGTTCAGTTGCACTCATCAAAGTTTTTGTGGTGATACTAATAGATTTTTTTAAAAAAGATCAATAGATCTCCTACCTAAATTGATTATTTTTACACAATTTTTGTTAAATGATCTAAACAAATTCGGTAAAATCATCTAATTTTTGTGCTCTGTTATCTTGCTCTGTAGGGTTCTTTAGTCCTAACTCTAGTAAGGCTTTCTGTTTAATCCTCTTTATTTGTCGTAGCCGTTCCAGTGGATTACTAGCAAACGGATCCTCTGGATTAGACTGTTGTCTTTGTAGCACTAATGATGCTAACTGTTAAGAAAAAGAGTTAAAAAATGAAGTATTCTCAATGATGAATATAGAATATTAGATAGCTGATGAATTGACAATTTACAATTAATATTAAGGCCCCAAAATAGCCCTGCCACAAAACTACAGTCACTGACCTGTCAGTACAAATACAGCACCAACCTGTTCTTGTGTAACATACCTTTTTCTTCTGTTGGAGATCAAAGCTTTCAACAGTTCAAGTAACTTATTTCTATGCAGTAATTTTTAATTTCTGTGACGTATTTCGATGGTAAAGACCAATGGTGTATACATTTTATTTGTTACAGTGAATGTTAGGTGAGGGCTTACATAGGCATTATCTCTTGCCATTCTTAACATGTCCTTAAATGATTTTGTGGTTCATTCTAATAATATTATATACACTAAAAGATAATGGTTGCATTGACCTTTAACATGTCAACAATTTCTACTCCATTGCTTTAGTTTTTCCAAGCTAGACTTTTTTTTTACAATTTTATGGCTTGATGTCCCAGACATATTCTAAAATTGCTTGTAAACATATGACAGTCTTAAAAAATATTCTGTCTCGCTTGTGGCTGAAACTTCAAATCATTTACTTATGTATCAACCAACTGAACACAATTATTCAAAATTACTTTGATGCGTCACAAAATTTTCTACCTGGAAAATAAAATCAACCTAAAGACTTTCCATAGGATTTTTTATTGGGAGGGGGGTTAAGTCTGCAAATGGTTATATTCATTTCTACTTACATTACAATTTACAGCTATCTGTCTTACTAAGTCTGATAAATGTTCATCAGATATCACTTTAGTATCTTTGTGACCAAGAATTTCAGCTATATCTGAAAATGTATCAAAAAACCAGTATTTTTTATATATATATATATGTATTGGTTAAAAGTTATATATGGTGGGCGATACATTCAAATGTCAATGATAAACAGCAATGCATGATGAAACATTTTCTAAGTTGTACTCCGTGGTAAATGAATTTGTGAAAAGTTGAACAGGATACAGACAATGAGAAATGAAATAAAATATTTTATATGGATCAAAAGAAGCTGAGGTTAGTAGAGTTGTCTAGATGTCCAAATAGTTCTTTATCATTTAATATCAAATATAAAATCAAAATGTATCGTATTTTTGTAAGTGCAACAAAAAAAACTCAACTATTTAACCCTAAAATACAATAATCTGACTAGGTCACTGGACAGGGCCTGCTAAGATATAAAATACATCCAATGAAGAAATGTATATATTTGTAAAGTACATAGCATATTAAATCAATATTTCTAATCTAAATGACAAGTCATTATTGGATGTTAAACACTAAATGACTAAGACAGGTTTTATTTACAAGGAAGACAAGTGTGAAGAATTCAAGGTGCTGCTATCTAAATACAAACACACTTCTCCTAGTGTATACTTTATTAAATTTTATTGTTTTGTAAAGGAACTAAGGATGACCAGCGTATTCACATTATCTATCAAAAAAGCCTGAGTCATAAAAGTCCTACAGTTTGATTAAAATAAAAAGAATCTTTAATAAAAGTCCTTCACCATGGAGTAAAGCAGATGTATCGAAACTTGTCATATTGAGGAAATTCTTTTCTTTATTTATACATATCTTTATACATATTTTTTTCTTTTATTAAAACAAGGAAACTGAGGTCTTTTGAAGGGTACAAGATAAATATGTGATGCTTAAGGCCTGCCTAGAAGACAGAAACATTCATGCTTCTTTTAGCCTGTTAAATTTCTGGATGTTATGAATGAATAGGCCTGTACATAAAAATAAAGGTTCCTGTAGAAATTGAGAGCAATGGATACTTTCTGTTGAACATCTTGTATTAAATGTTGTACTATCTATTGCAATATGTGTCATCATGAATTCTTTTCATCAGATATGCTGCTTAAACAATATTTTTGTCTTTCATGCTATGCAAGCTATACAAATTTACATGGATAGATTGATTGTTGGTTGCTTAACGTCCAGTGGAAGATAAGCAGTCAAGGTAAGTGAAATATGTAGCAAAAAGTAATGCATTCAAAATTTGCAAAGCATACAACCTTCTTCATGTGAGCTAGGCACTTTTTTTAAGTAAAGTGTGCAAAATAGAAATTTTTATATGACAAACAATTGTGAAGATATATTTTCAAAGTCCAAGTTAACATCTGTTATGAATATCTTTCAGCCCTCAGTGACACCTACAAACATTGCTGCAACATCAGCCTAGTTATTAACCAGTGATACTTTTTCTAGAAACAATGCTTTTTCGTGTATTATAAGAAAAGTATTCACATCATTACATCAATTTTACACTTTGTTTGCTAAATTCAGTAAAATTTTCATCTGCTGTATCTGGGATAAGCTCACACATAGAAGTCTACCTTACTCTATTAACTAACTTGGTAAATTGACATTTTACAAATAACTTTTATCCATGGATTGCTAAGATATGCAAATACAGCTAGCAGGACTTGATTGGAGATATTATATCAAAGTCATATAATTCATTCGTTAGACTTTTTATATAAAGGAAGAAAAGTTTATGTCTTATCTTTTTTTTAAGACTGTTTTTACAAATACAAATTTTTTTTTGTGTGATTATTTTTTTTCAAAATTAACCATAAAATGGGAGGTAACTTTGATAATGTAACGTTTATAAAGGAATGTGTTGAGAATTTACCTATTTTGTTTTGTAGCAATAAAGCAAGTCCTTTTCCTTTTTCTTTTCTCAAAGCACAATATAAGTACTATCTTCTCATTTTTTATGTTAAAATTCGATCATTTATTTTTCTTTCCTTCACAGAAAATTTTGCCATGTACAATCTAAACAAAATCTGATAATTTTGCACAATCTGTAGCATGATATAAACTACAATTTTGCAAATTATTAAAAAAAATCTATTGATTTTAATTTAGTTGTTTTTTTATGGTCTTTTCCTGAATATGCATAACATTTGTAATGATCAACTTAAAGATCAATTAATTCAAAACAGGTGATATACTAGATGTCAACATTTATCAAAATTGTGTTGGTCTTTTTTTCATTTCAAACATCATCAATATAGCATTTACAATCAATCAAAAATATATATTTAGACTAACACATTAGATGTGTAGTAACTGTTTCCTAATTATTCTAAGATTTTATTTGTACTAAACACTTCACCATTATTAGTCTTTTTGTTAAGGTGGTACCTAACACTACAGGGAGATAACTCTGTAAAAATCAGCTAAACGTTTTAATTACTTTGTATTGTTAAGGAAATATTAAGCTTCTCAATGATCAAAATTAGTGTTCGTCAAACTGCTATATAACCAAAGAAATTTTTCTGATAAAGTGGTTGGTTCAAATTTTTTGAAATTTTTATATTTTTGTCAAAGGGTCAAAGTAAACATTTTGTCAAAATTTTATGAAAATTAAACGAGCCAAATTAATATTAGTCAAGGTGTTGGGTACCACCTTAAGACATAATCCAAATTTACAGTAGTTTTTAAGATGATCATAATAAGATAAAAGGCTGTTAGACTAGCAGCTGATGGCCCAATTATAAATAAAAAACTGAACACAAAATTTATACTGACATAAGATGTACAAAAATGAATTTCACTTTAAATAAAAACATTTGTCTATTAAACAAGTATTAAAGACAGTTTGTTTTGTAACACAATGTTTCATTAGCTATAATGTAAAAGCACATCTTGTTTGCCAGCCCAGTTCAATATATTTTTTAAGTATAAATGAGCCAAATGTATTATTTCCAGACACAGATCCATAGTTGAGATGAAAAATTGATTGAAATTCCAAATTTGATTTAGGAAAACTTTTCTAGTCAAATAGAAAAGGAATACAGTGGATTTTTTTTATTTTCGTGGACACCCATTTTCATTGATTGAGAATTTTTTTAATTTGTTCATGGATATTTGATTTCATGGTTTTGCCGAACTCTATAGAAACTCTGAAAGCCTATAGAAAATGTGTACTTCATTGAACATTTATATTCATGGGTTTAGGTAAATGAAATTTCCAATACAATGTGCATCTCCTTTGACTCTGTCTCTGGTTTAATAGAAGCAGGTATAAATATGATAATGTGTTAATGCAAAGCATTCATACACAGAAGTACCTGTTGTGATACTGTCCTGAAATGGTACTATAAAACAAAACATCATATTAGTCAACCACACAAGTAGTTCATGCACAGATCACCATAAAGCTTATGAAACAAAAACTAGGGTTTCAACAATATTAAATTTATACAAATGTTAATTTCATTTATAAATTTATACAAATGTTAATTTCATTTATAAATCTATACAAATGTTAATTTCATTTATAAATCTATACAAATGTTAATTTCATTTATAAATCTATACAAATGTTAATTTCATTTATAAATCTATACAAATGTTAATTTCATTTATGAATTTATACAAATGTTAATTTCATTTATGAATTTATACAAATGTTAATTTCATTTATAAATTTATAAAAAAATCATCTACCAGAAGCAATTTATAGCAACTTCAACTCTTTTTTGCTACTCTCCATAAGCTATTACTGAATTATATATATAATATGTGACCAAAAACAAAAAACAACTGCGCCATGAGCACATGATACGTCTGTCGCATTTTTTACGAATAAAGTTCAATAACTTCTCAATGTCATATCAGAAATTTGTGAAAAACTAAAGGGCGGTTATCTGAATTGATATAAACCAGTCACCAAAGTTTAATGAAAACTGCTCAAAGCACTTTAAAGGTATTGTCCGAAAACTAGAAAATCACCCCTTTTTTATGAATAAAATCCCATAACTTGGAATTGTAAAATCTAAAATTTATAAAAATTGAAAGGGAGCTTAAACCAATAGATATAAACAATTCTCCAAAGTTTCATGAGAACTGCTGAAAGCATTTTTGAGTTATTGTCCGAAAACTGGAAAATCCCCCTTTTTTTTAATGAATAAAACTCCATAACTCGGAAACATAAAATCTAAAATTTATAAAAATCAAAAGGGAGCTCATGTCAATAGATATGAACAATTCACCAAAGTTCTGTGCAAATTGGTTGAAGCGTTTTTGAGTTAATGTCTGACATGTTGACGATGGACAGACGGACAGAGGTATACCATAATACGTCTCGTAAATGGGCGTATAAAAACTACATGAGGTCAAGGTCAAAAGGTTTTAGAAAACAGCATGCAATGTACAAGTTAACTTTTAATTTTAAACCAATACAGATGAATGTATTAGGTGAGAACAAAGGGTTTGCTGTTTATAAATGAATACAGGGAAGAGGTTCCTTTTTTCCTTCTTTTTTTCAACAAAAATAAAAACTGATCAAATGATTTCATTGATAGTGTTTGTATAAAAATCTTCCACACTACAAATATAACTAGAGGCTCTTGGAGCCTGTGTCGCTCACCCGATATTTTTATTTACAATTGATGCATGAAATAATGCAACCGTTATACATTTGCTTTAGTTTCAGAGATATAGGTCAAAAACTGCATTTTCCCCCTAAGTTCTATTTTTAGCCATGTCTGACATGTTTGTTGGCAGGCAGGGTCATCGGACCCATTTTTTAAACTAAATACCCTAGTGATGATTGTGGCCAAGTTTGGTTAAATTTGGCCCTGTAGTTTCAGAGGAGAAGATTTTTATAAAAGTTAACGGATAACGACAACGCCGGACGCCAAGTGATGAGAAAAGCTCACTTGGCCCTTTGGGTCAAGTGAGCTAAAAAGTAAATTCTGAATGTTTCCGCATATAGTAAACCTGAAACTACTAAGTGTTTAAAAAAATTAACAGAAGTAATTCCAACTTAGGTACACTCATTTAAATATTCATAATTTTAGCAAACAAGATAAATTATTCAAAGGATCATGATATCTCTATCATTTGAGCAGTGATGAATACTACATGCAAAAGTATTTCAAGTATGAAATGAATAATTAACTATAACAATGACAATGAAGTGTGCTTTTTATATTATAAGCAAAACAAACCTTCCCTGCATGCATATTGTAAAAGACGTTCTCTAAGTACTGTTCAATTTTATATCAAACAGAAGAATATAAAATTGTAATTATTGCTGACTAGCTGACTGCAGGGTTGCGTTCAATATCGTAGCGGCTACATAGGGCTACGTAGATTTATGACTATTGAACGTGTAGCTAGCCTAGCTGCTACATAGATATTGATAGCAGCTAGGCTAGCTACTCGTTCAATAGTCATAAATCTACGTAGCACTACGTAGCCGCTACGATATTGAACGCAACCCTGATGTTATTATATTATTCATTTGAGTTATGAGGGTCTGGATGGGGATGCTTCATTTCTTTATTCTTTAATTTCTTAAGTCATTTTTCTTTATCATCTATATTTTGGCCCATTATTCCCTATTTCTTTGTCCAATTTTCTCTATTTTACTTTTTTGGTCCATTTTTCTGTAGATAAGGCCCATTATTCTCTATTCTGTAAACCCTATCCAAACCCTCAGTTATGTCAGTCTGAAAATTGCCAAGTAACTTATAAATGATTGTAAAAATGTACAAGCTTACCTTCTTTTGCCTGTAATGTTATAGCATTACTTTCATAGTCTAATGGCTTGATCACAATGTTTACATAGTTAAACTGTCCCTGTAATATATAAAAGAAAACCAATTAAGATGTCAAATACCATCAAACAGAAAATTTTATAAGGCAACCTTTTAACCCCTTCATTCAGCTGTTTGATTTTATAACTTACCATCATTAAAATATATTTATACCAAATTGAATCTATTGTGTGTTGCAGTGTCATCAAGTAAAAAATGATGAGTTGAAATTTGTTTTCTTTCTTTTCTCTTATCCTATTCTTAATAGTGAACAAGAGGCCCATAAGAGCCTGAATAGCTCACCTGCAATTTTTGTGTAGATCTTGCATCAATGATTATTTTGCTGTTTGATGTTTATTAATGCATGTTTAAACATACCTTTAAAAGATTCTCTCTATCTATCATAATTTCTGCAAAAAAAACTAAAAAAAAATTGGTTAATATCATCTTTCAAGGGCAATAACTCCTATAAGGCATCAATTGACATTTTCGGTCAAGTTGACTATTTGTAGGTCTTACTTTGCTGAATAATTTTGCTGTTTGAAGTTTCTGTCTTTCTATCATAGTTTCTAAAAAAAACTTAAAAATTTAATAAAAATAGTCTTTCAAGGGCAATAAGTCCTATAAAGGATCAATTGAAGAATTCCGTTCTTAAACTTATAGGTAGATCTTACTTTGCTGAACATTTTTTCTGTTTAAAATTTCTCTTTATCTATAATAGTTTTCCAGATAACATAAAAAACTGAGAAATTTCATAAAAATTAATATTTCAGGGGCAATAACTCCAAATTGGATGAGAAAGCACTACTTGCACCCCGTGTTTACATGATTGCTATCATTGTATAAAATAATAACATTCCCTAGAGAGTTAACTACCTTAAATTGTTCCAATTCTGTAATCCTCACCACTATCATTGTATACAACAGTTACATAGTCATTACTGAGTTACCTACCTTTATTGTTCCAATTCTGTAATCTGTATACAACAGTTACATAGTCATTACTTAATTGTTCCAATTCTGTAATCCTCATCACTATCATTGTATACAACAGTTACATAGTCATTACTGAGTTACCTACCTTTATTGTTCCAATTCTGTAATCTGTATACAACAGTTACATAGTCATTACTTAATTGTTCCAATTCTGTAATTCTCATCACTATCATTGTATACAACAGTTACATAGTCATTACTGAGTTACCTACCTTTATTGTTCCAATTCTGTAATCTGTATACAACAGTTACATAGTCATTACTAAATTGTTCCAATTCTGTAATCCTCACCATTATCATTGTATACAACAGTAACAGTCATTACTGAGTTACCTACCTTTATTGTTCCAATTCTGTAATCCTCACCACTATCATTGTATACAACAGTCACATAGTCATTACTGAGTTACCTACCTTTATTGTTCCAATTCTGTAATCTTCACCTCATTACTGAGTTACCTACCTTTATTGTTCCAATTCTGCAATCTGTATACAACAGTTACATAGTCATTACTTAATTGTTCCAATTCTGTAATCCTCACCACTATCATTGTATACAAATGTAACAGTCATTACTGAGTTACCTACCTTTATTGTTCCAATTCTGTAATCCTCACCACTATCATTGTATACAACAGTAACAGTCATTACAGAGTTACCTACCTTTATTGTTCCAATTCTGTAATCTTCACCACTATCATTATATACAACAGTTACATAGTCATTACCAATGTGCAGTTTCTTGGTATTACAGTTTGGGTCAGACTCTTTGTTTGGCATCAGGGTAGCAACATGATAAATCACTGTAAATAAGAAGAAAAGCATGTATCCTTCATAACTGATTGTTGTGGACTTATTTATTTTCGTGGATACCAATTTTTGTGGATTGAAGTAAAAATTGTATTTTCATGGATATTTGATTTTGTGGGTTTGCTAGTCAGCATACAAGTCTACAGAAAAGTTGTACTCTGTGTAACATTTTAAATTCATGGTTTTACCTTTATCAATGAAATCCACAAAAAATGGTATCCAATGTAAAAATTGAATCCACAGTATTGCATTTGTACATTATTCTGCACAGCTGAATAGAAAATCCTGTATAATGTCTTCGTGACATCCAAAGAGTTTGAACATCTACAACTTTGATCAGAACCACAAGTAACAATTGCAAGATTAAACAAGAATGTGTCCATAGTACACAGATGCCCCACTCGCACTATCATTTTCTATGTTCAGTGGACCGTGAAATTGGGGTAAAAACTCTAATTTGGCATTAAAATTAGAAAGAAAGATCGTATCATAGGGAACATGTGTACTAAGTTTCAATTTGATTGGACTTCAACTGCATCAAAAACTACCTTGACCAAAAACTTTAACCTGAAGCGGGACAGACGGACGGACGAATGAATGAACGGATGCACAGACCAGAAAACATAATGCCCCTACTACTATCGTAGGTAGGGCATAAAAACATAAAACACAATAATTTGGGAAAAAAGCAACTAAAATAAAATGAGGTAAATTTGAACTTTGTGCATATAGATATCAAAATGCCTGACCACTTGACACAACATATACAGTGTTGGTATGGTCACTTCCTTACATGACTATACAGAATTGATAATCCACCAGTAAAAACCCATAACACAGATAGTTGCCTGTTTCTATAAGGATAGTCCCAATTCGTTAAGACTTTTATCTGAATAGAACTATTATCAATACTCTCAATAATTTGTGTACTTGTACTGACAGATAAAAATAGTCACCAATGGTTATTCATATGATATTGGTGAATTTCAAATTTCTTTTTCTTTAAAAGTACATGGCAATAATGTTATGGATATTTATAGGAATAATGGTGGTAGGATCTTGCTTGGAATTGATTCTCCTGATAACAACCTTAAAAGTTTAGATATATATACCATGCAAAGTTTCATCTTGCCATCCATAACAATACTGTCCATCACTGCCATCTTTATTTAAACCTCCAATGTAAACTTTGTTTGGATCACAATCATGTAGTCGTATTAATTGTCCTAAACCTTGTAAAAATTTGATATATCTCTCTGACCCTGACTGGTTTGAAAATATTGCTTTCTCATCTTTTGTCTGCAAAATAATAACAATAGTTAAATTCTAAATTTCAATTGTTACTTTTAAGAACATATATATAAGATATCTATATATAAAGAGATGACCATGACAAACAAATAATTATCAAATAGAAATGCAAAAATCTTAAACTCCGAGAAATTAATTCTAAAAACAAGTAAGCAGTTGGTTACCCTATATTCTATGAAACTTATGCTTTTTCCTCTTAAATTTTTACAAGTTCTTCTAAAATTAACTCAATAAATCTGAATACTTTATGATAGGATATGTAACAGACAATTCATCATACAATGAATGATACGTGTAGTTTTTTGTTTGTGAATGTGACAATTTTCTACTTTACAGATAATAAAAGGTATACCTGGCTTGTACCAACATAAACAACACCAATCTTATGGGTGGCAAAAGGGTAAATCCTATCAAGATTGTTAATGGCTCTCTTCATAATCTGAAATTATAATGATTGCAATTACATTCTATGATTCACACAATATCTATAACTATGCATATCTATGCATAATATTTCCTAATATGTTTCTTAAGTTTCTGATACATTAACAAAACAGATAGCAATATATTATGCAGGTCAAAATTTATAAAATACTGAAGGTACCACAATTTTTATACTTTAAAATGTGCAGTTTCAATCAATATCAAATGTTTCAGCTTGTTTGCCTCTTTTTTTTTCTTATCTGGGATAAGGCCAAAAGGTTGTTTTTTACATTCATTGTCCCCATTGCCATACATATATAGATAAAATTTAGAATGGAAATGGAAATGGGGAATGTGTCAAAGAGACAACAACTGGACCAAAGAGCAGAAAACAGCTCAAGGCCACCAATGGGTCTTCAACAGTGAGAAAATCCCACACCCAGAGGCGGGCTTTAGCTGGCCCCTAAACAAAAATGTATGTTTTCCCAATTCTTCTTTTATTCACATATAAAATTGAGAATGGAAATGGGGAATGTGTCAAAGAGACAACAACCCGACCATAGAACAGACAACAGCAGAAGGTCACCAACAGGTCTACAATGCAGCGAGAAATTCCCGCACCCAATGGCGTCCTTCAGCTGGCCCCTAAACAAATACATATAACAGAACAAAAACGGTCTACATTTATCTTTAACTTACATCAGTTTGTGGTAGTAGAAGTGGCATTTCGTTCCCATGGTGCAACATTCCTCCAAAGTACAATTGTAAAAACACAAAACTTGGATTGATGCCACCTCTACCAGCATCTTTTGTCGCTGATCTGTCATCGTGGCCTCTTTCAGGGGTCACCACAGATATGGTATGACCTCTTTGTTTCTTGAATGCCGGTAAATCTGGCAACTCATCATGAACAGAGGATTCAGAACTTTCTGGTGACAAAGACAGTTGTGGAGGATTCACAATATTTGGTTGACTAGTTGGACTTAGAATATTTGTGCTTTTAGATATATTACTAGGTCTGTTTGACACCACACTCAAATTCATACCATCTTCTTTTACTTTTGAACCATCAACCACTATTTTATGTAAATTAGAATCTGATTCACGCAAAAGTTTATTTGAATCATCAATATGGGATGGAATTGAGTCTTTTTCACCGGAGTGATTATTTCCTGTTTCTAACAGTGATGGGGATGATGTGCTTCTCTTCAACATAGAAATAATGCTTTCATTTTCTTCGTTAGTCGAGTCTTTTGTTACTTCCTGAAAATTCAAATTGAAATCAATATACAGCTCTATAAAATCTGTACTTTACCACTGTAATAAATACAATAAATCAATACACTGTACTATTAAAACAATTTAAATTCTGTAATAAGTTTTCTTTAAAATGCCAATAAAAGTGTTTAAAAAAAGATTCCAATGTGACATTAGTGATAATGCTTGACAATCTGAATATATATACAAAAGAAATGAGTAAATAAAATCAGAATTTTAATTGTAATTTTTTAAATAATTTTGAAATTGAAAAAAAATACATTTTCTTAACTTACCTTTTCAACCTGACCATTTGATTCTGAAAAAAAAATAAATTAAAACATGTTTTATACATTCGGTTTACTGTATTATAAAGTGTCATGCAGCAATCAAGTTAAAGGGAAACAAGAATGTGTCTATAGTACACGGATGCCCCACTCGCAATATCATTTTCTATATTCAGTGGACCGTGAAATTGGGGTCAAAACTCTAATTTGACATTAAAATTAGAAAGATCATATCATAGGGAACATGTGTACTAAGTTTCAAGTTGATTGGACTTCAACTTCATCAAAAACTACCTTGACCAAAAACTTTAACCTGAAGCGGGACAGACAGACAGACGTACGGACAACGAACAAACGAATGGACGCACAGACCGAAAAACATAATGCCCCTAGGTGGGGCATTAAAACATTCATTTCAGATTTACATCATAAATATATGATTTTCTTGTTGTCTAAAAATTTCAACTTTTCCAGTGGCATTTGCTTTCTACATACTTTGGTAGCAGGCTAGCCACTTAACCAGATATGTAGGTTCTACAAAGTGAGTCAACTGAGATGAGGTATCAGTGTTTAACATCCCTATTCTGATTGTATTTATAAATCTCACACAAGCAAGAAAGTGTTTGTGGTGAAATACAACTTATATACAATATCAAACTATTGAAGAATGAACATAATACAGTATGGGTTTTGCTCATTGTTGAAGGCATCATGCTTTATATAAACATACAACTTGACAAAAGCAGACAAAGTTTAACCTGAATAACCTTTCCACTTTTGTGACAGATATAAAGCTTCCAGGTCTTTTTTCCCAAAATTAGAAGGGCCTGAAATAAAACGTTAGTTTAAATGAATTATAATTATGACTAAAATAAAGTAGAAAGACTGTCAGTAGAGCTGATAAAAGTCATACTCCTTTGACTTACCATTTTTTGTCTCCTATAACAATCATAACATGAAAAATTGGTAAAGCTCTTTATTTGCATCGGGAGACCCAAAAGATCAGTAATAGACAATGCGGTTAGATACTATAATTTATGTGGAGTTTCAATTAGTCTGACTGATTTAAGACTTATTTGTCCAAATGAATAAATGAAACGCCACAACTTTTTCCCTCCTCCTTCATGGTTTTTTGGTATATAATTTTACTCAAATATAAAAATAACATACCATTAATCTGCTTGTTTCCATCAATCAAAATCTGTATGCCTTCAGTACCTAAAATATAAAATAAAATAACTTTAAATTATATAGAATATCTGCTTCTGCGTTTATATTTAAAAAAAACTTATTATAAAGACTTTTTAAGAAATTATATTTCATTTTTTGCATTAGAGGACTCTGTCATCTTAATGAGCTGTTATAAATGATTTGTAGATAGGACTTTTCAGAACCATCACCACCTATTGAATTTCATCGTAAAAAAATTTTCTGACCCCCTACCAAACAATAACTGCTAGAGCCTCTCTTAATTCAAAGCTAAAAATACATTTTGAACTTACATTCAGCAAACAATCCACCTGAAGATCCGTGATCAGATGGGAAATGTTGATCATACAGTGAAACATATTCTTCTTCTCCTAAACTGTCTACATCAATCCTGCTACTCAAGCTGTCTATGTCTGGCTGTTTGGCATTACGAAAGTTAGCAAATAATATTGTAAAATCATGAAACTGTGAGTCCTGAAAATACAACATAAAGGGCATAACAGGTAGAACTGTGAGCTATTGCTAACTAATGAAACCCCACTTTAAGTATTTGTTAAACAGAATGTTTAAGAAAACTGAATCTTAAAACACATTACACAATTTCGGGAAGCTATTAGTTGTAGTTTCCAAGAAAAATTTGACAAAAATTTCATACATGGCCATTATTTTTAGAATATGCAAGTATTGGGTAAATGGGAAGTTGATGAGCAATGAACCTGAAATACTGTCACACTGTACAGCGTGCTGACAAGAATTCTGATAACAAATTTCAGAAAGCTTTAATTTATAGTGCCCTAGACAAATGTGATAAACATTTCAAACATGACCATTATGTTCAGAATATATATGTATTTAGAAAACAGGAAGTTAATGAGCGATGAGTCTAAAACTATGTTAACCATATAGCATGCTGGATTGAAGCCTGATAACAAATTTCAGGAATCTATTATTCGTAGTTCCTAAGAAAAATGCTAAAGAAATTTAATGGGATGGACGGAACTGACTGGCGGACAGACAGACAGAGGTAAAACAGTATACCCCCTCCTTAACAGCTGGGGCATACTTAACATTAATAAAATCTTTGAGTTTTAACCTTTGTTTGTTGCTAACAATTAAACATTCAGAAGCAAGTAAATCAAATTGAAGATCAGGTCTCTTACTAATATGCGACTAAAAGAAGAAAGTGGTTATAGAACATAGATGACCAAACTTGTAAATATGTAGAGTCAATGTATTAATTCAAACCTGTTGACCTTTTGTTTTCTTTTTTTTCTTTTTCTTGGGTTTGAGTGCTCTGATTGTTCGAAATTGAACAGTAATGGGGTAATTCGAGAACATTGAAAGTGATGGCACCCAAATTCATACTTGATCTGTCTTTGGTTGTAATAAGCATTGTCTACAAGTTATATAACATTTGGCTGAGGAAAGTAAAATAAGTGTATGGAAATCGCAAATTTGCCAATTTTTCCATTTATAAAAGGACCTGTATAAAACAGTGAAAGTGACGCCACCCAAATTCAAACTTGATCTGTGTTCGGTAGTAATAAGCATTGTTCATAACATTTGGTCAAGGCTAACTAAAGTTAGAGAACAGAAACCAATTATCGGAAGTACGTACGGACGGACGTACAGACGGACATACGGATGGACGTACAGACGACAGGGGTATGAAAATTTAGATCTATACACACCTGAAGTGAAGTCATTGATGTTTCATTTTCAATTCTCATCATCCAGCCAATGACACCACTAGGAGATCTGATGTATACTTCTGCCCATCCTGTACACCAACAATTACATTGGTAGTTACTAAACATCCTACCATCTGTTGATTTGTTCATTGACCCTGAAGAAAGTACATATTCAATTTTAATTAAAAAAAAAAGCTTCTATTACAGGACAAGGATAGTATCTGAATAGCTAAATTCAGTTATATCTTTTATTTTAAAACTTTTTTTATATCTTACCACAAAGTATTGACTCTAGATTTTCACTTTCAAATCCTGATTTTGGTGTATGTTCTGTGAGAGATGTCCCAGTTTGTACCCCAACCTCTTGCCCTTCAAGAGCCTCTTCCAAACTCATATCATCATTAAATGAGAGTCTTGATTGGACACCTATGTCATCAATACTTCCTTTGGAATTGTCAATCAAAGATGTGCTCCGCCCTACAAAGGCAGATCTGTGGCGTCGTCTGCCAGGAGTGACTGGTGTCTTCTGTTCAGCTGGCTGACTTTGTGGCTGATAATGTGCCATACACTTATCACAGAGGACTCCCGTGCTGCTATATTTAGTTCCAGCTCCACCACTGGTCGTAATAGTGATTAATTTATTACCAACACTCCATGTTTGTGATTGGCCACCATTTAAAAGAAACTCAGCCACTTGTGACCTGTTAAAAATTGAAAAACAAAAACAAATATGAAACACAAAATGATTTTAACGACTTCTACAATTAAGTGAATATATAGGTTTATGAGTTTACAATGTAAAAGTTCAGGTCAAACAATTTTAATTGGCAGTAAACTGTAGAGTAATAGCAATTTAATACCTTAAGATCCATTTTTTCTTGTGTAAAACATGTTATGATTTTTATGTCCTGTCTATGATAGTTTCAGGTGACTGTTTAGTTTAGGGTAGTTTACTATGAAGTTTTGGTCACATCAACTTGAAACTTATTATGATGTTACTTAAATATTTGTCAAATTAGGGTTTTGACCCAGAGTTAGACCTATGGACACATTCTGTTTGTATAGTTTTGTTCTGTTATCCAAATCTATCCTTTTGAAATACATTTTTATAAAGGACAATAAATTGCATAATTTGTCATTATTACCTCTGTGGTACAGCACTGTAGTTAGCAAATGTATATCTAGACATAATATCAGTACAAGTTTCTGTTAGTTCTTTATGGAAAACTGACATCTTCTCATCAACAGGTGGTGACACAGAACGTTGTGGATTACCTGTACCAGATGATATCCTTCTACGTCTGAAATGTTTTTACAGATATTTGTTAAAAACACATAATTTTCATGTAAATATTCTGAAAGTTTCATGTTATGTAATTAATGAAACTTCAACCATAAAAACACTGGATCTCATCTCATTGGTACCAAAACACAATGTTGAAATTAATGTTTTTTGAATCAGAGTCCAATTAAGTTAAATTATTGGTCTAAATTTTGAATTTTTATGTACAGGTATACTTACGCTTTAAATGCAGGTTCATTATAGGTAGCTGAGCGACCTCTTTCTGATGAATCTTGGTTTAGATGGCTTAATGCATTGTCTTCAAAATGTTTCAGAACATTGGCTTTAAGTCCCTGCAACAAGATATTTGCCATTTAAATAAAACAAACTTCTAAACTTTCAATCAATTATAATGCCATTATTTTCTAGTTATTTGAGGTTATGTTGTCTATGGCTTCAGAAGACATATTGACAAAAAACTTTTGTAAATTGTGCCATGGTCTACAGAAATTTCATTAAAAACATTATTTCATTAGAATCAGTATCAGATGTGTAGGTGATTTTAAATTCAAATAAAAACATTTTATACAGCAAAAGTACTTGACTTATTCAGGTAAAAGCAATAACCCTTTATTCATTTTTTACTGAAAAATTACAAACCTTCTGAATAAATCTAACAAATCCTTTCCTAAATGGCATTCTGCATCTTATAAACCAGATGGCTATAATATGATGAGCCAGCGACACAGTGTAGTGACTAAATCTGAAAAATGGTGATATCATATTCAAATTTATTATTACCATAAACCAACTTATTTTTATGAATATTCTTTTTCACATTGAGCTCTTTCTTGCCTATTAATTTTTGAGATTTTCAAACTTTACTTATTTATTCATATAAGAAAAGAAGTACACCAAGAACAAATAATATGATTTACAACACAGTTTGTCTATCTGAATGAAAACTCTCCTATAAATATTACCACAATTCTTGCATGCACTCAACATTTCCCACCAAAAATTAAAATCAGAAATAATATACATTCTATGTTCCTTCTTAGGTCTTTCCACTTTACAAACAAATAAAAATCATTTTAACTCAAAATTTATATAATTTTGTTATATGTAATATTTTAGGCCAAATTAAGCTGCTCTCCTTTCAAGCCATTCTCAGATTTGTTTTAATTCATGAATCAACCATACTTACTTGAAAGGGTTAGTATAAGGTAAAGCTATGGCAAAGACACTCATGTATTCATCTTCTACAAAGTTGGCATACATCTTTGGTAAACGAACAATACCTACAAAAAATATAAACAAGCAAGACATTGACAAAAGTTTAAAAAAAAATAATAACAAACTGGAAAACCATAAAACTTATTTAAATATATTTCAATGAAATCTAGGCTGATGCAAAACTGCATATTAACCATTTGAAAATAGTTACAACTAGATATCATTGAGATGGGAGCCATCTCTGTGGGCCCCGCTGTGAATAATGTGTGGTAAAAAATTTGTATCTTTATCATTGGACATGGGGTTGTCAAATGAAACCAAAGTTTTTGACCTTGGACTTTGACCTAGGAAGTTGTACATAAATTATGACACACCCTCTGGTGTTGGTTTATATACATATCAAGTATAAAGTTTGAAATCATAACGGTTCTCAAGATATAGAGCGGACACAATCTTTACCATAGGACATGGGGTTGTCAACTAAAACCAAAGTTTTTGACCTTGACCTTTGACCTAGGAAGTTGAACATACATTATGACACACCCTCTGGTGTTAATTAATATACATATCAAGTATAAACTTTGAAATCATAACGGTTCTCAAGATATAGAACGGACACGATCTTTACCATAGGACATGGGGTTGTCAACTAAAACCAAAGTTTTTGACCTTGACTTTTGACCTAGGAAGTTGAACATACATTATGACACACCCTCTGGTGTTGGTTAATATACGTGTCAAGTATAAACTTTGAAATCATAACGGTTCTCTATAGAGCAGACATGATTTGTTATGGACGGACGGACGGACAGCAAACGGACGTACAGACTGATCACTATAGGGCGGCCGCCATTCGGCTGGGCCCTAATAATAATTGAACTAGAAAATAACATGCAAATACAAACCTTATCAAAGTGCTTGTAAGCACTGAAGGGTAAAGATTGCTTTAATTTATCAGTGGGAAGTAAAATTAAACATTGCATTGTAATGACATTGGTTGCAGTTGATTCAACTACAATTATATATATGGATAAAGGTAGATAACTCCAATTTTAAAGATTACTTTAACAATGACATTACTGCACCTTGCACAAGTTATGTAATTTTCTTGACAAGTATAACATAATTTTGTAACTTGAATATCTGAGCATATATTTCATTATAATGGAATTTTATGCAACTGTCATACAAGTGAGAGGTTAAGCTAGCTATAAAAAAAGGTTTAATCCACCATTTTCTACACGAGGAAATGCCTGTACCAAGTAGGAATATGACAGTTGTTTTCCATTCGTTTGATGTGTTTGAGCTTTTGATTTTGCCATTTGATAAGGGACTTATGACTTGATTTTTCCTTGGAGTTCGGTATTTATGTTATTTTACTTTTTTTTTCATTGATAAATTTCAGGAAATGCTCACGGATAGGATGTTTAGAATATTATGATCAATGCACTATATTTAGTGTATCTCAAAAGAAGTGATAAACCTTAAAAGATTTAGATATCAAGTCAGTACCATAGGGTTTTGATAGCAATTCATGCAATCTTTACCAAAAAATATACCAGTATATCTTTTCTTCATTTTCAGAAATGGTTTAGTCTCAACCCTGGAATAGTCCTTTTTAAAGTAACTTACTGGAAAAGAAAGCTAAGACAGGAATAGCCAAATAGACAGTTGCCGAGATCTTGGACAGCTGTAACAGTACTTACTTGAAAGGAAAGCCAAGACAGGAATAGCCATATGGACAGTGGCCGAGATCTTTGACAGCTGTAACAGTACTGATGGTAACAATCTCATCATAACGTCCTGCATCTCTAATGTACAGATTCGCAAGGAATTAGTACATATCTTGGAACATTTAGATACTAATCCAAACTCTAAGCACTTTATAAGCTGTCTCTGAAAATAAAAGATTAATCTGGATGGTAAAAAAATTGAATTTAGCTAACGGGAACTACAAGTAATTTGATAAAAAGTTACTTCAACTTGTTTTAATGGATCATTATTTTATTGAATATACAACACACTCATAATGAACTTTGACCCTATATATTTGTCCATCAGCTGGTTACCTCATGAAATTTATTTTCTGTTACCACGAGTCATTGAAAGGAAATTAATTTCTCCTGAGTGTTTTCCTTATTTGTATGTACAGATGGCATTTCAGTTCCCCCCTCTTCTTCATTCAACACAATAATGTCTCACTATTTCCACATTCGATTTTCAAGTCAGTTCAATTTACATATTGTTATCATAGGTTTGATATGTTTCTATATCTATAGAGTAATTATTTATGTATATATATATATATATATATACATAATTACTCTAAATATCAGCACAACAATGTTAAATCTGCAAATTTAGGGAAGCAAATTTTTGTTCTTCCCTCGCCGGGATTCGAACTCATGCTATTGGGATATTGAGACAACACCGCCTGCACTGTGTCCAGCGCTCTAGACCACTCGGCCACCTAGACTGAACTAAAAATTCAGCTTTCGTTGGCCTAGTGTTACCTTTCCTCATCAGTAGAATCTAGAGTTGTTACACAGTACATGATATATTAGGCATGAAGATGGAATTGATTGCAGATTAGCTAAGTTATCTGTACTAAAGGATCGTATGATGCAGTCACAGAAATAATTACTTGTTTTATTACTAATAACAAATATATGTAGCAGAGACATTGTCATGTGGCTATCCACTTTACATGCATTTGATACCCATATCTTATACATAGAATACAGGCTATTCTATTGCTTGTCATCCACTATCCTTTTTATTTGTATTAAGTCATATAATAATGAGCATTGTGACCAGGAGAACATACCTGTTTATTTTTATCCAGGTAAGAATGATAGGATACTAATGACACTAGTACAGGAAATATAAAAGTGTGGAAGTCTGAACGTGTGAACTTTCCTGGAGGTATACTCTGTAACTTCTCTGGAAACCCTAACTGTCTGTCATTCACCTGTAGACACAAAAAAAATATTACCATTCATAAATCGTTGTTTTTTCGCAAATTGTTAAAGACAAAAACATTGTAAAATATAAAATTAATAAAATGAGTTTGACATGAAATTCTAATTCTACAACATTTTTTAAAATAAATCATTATGATGGCATATCAAGTTGAAAATACTGGTAACAACTTTGAACAGGTACATCATTCATGTTACCTATTCTTGATTATACTAAAGACCTGTTCTGATGAGTTACAGGTAGTTAATGATACTCAATATTTCAGTGCATCAGACCAAGATTTACTGATATATTATGACCAATAAATTACTTAAAAGTCATAAGATCAATGATATTTCGATTTATATAAATGCAAAGTAAAATTACATACAATGTTCATCAACTATGTTAAGTAGACCTACCATAGAACACAACTTTTGACACAGTACATCTACCATGTTACGATTTGTTGATAGCACTAATGATTTGTTCTGTAGTAGCAGTGGTAAGTTGACCAATACACACTCCATTACTTGCCAGTCTTTGTCCTAAACATAATCAGTTAAATATAAGTATATTCTATCCTATGTTTCCTATACTTTCACATTTGTGTAGTTCTATTTTAGGTAGACTGACAATGTTAAACTTAGCATCTGATGGAACATTTATCGAACCACTATTTAAATTTGCTCCTTATTTTATAAATCAGTATCATATGGTTTGATGCAAAGCATTTAATATAATTTATTTCATTTAATCTTTCCTAGCTGTTAATTTCTCATTATCGAATACTAAATGAAATAAATTTCGTGCATCGCTTTTCTGGATTTACATTCGTCAGGTACACTCAAACTTTAACATTTAAAAGCCAGGGATGGGTAAATACGTAGAAACATTTGCTTTATGATAAAATAGGACCTAACAAGAATAGCCAAATTTATCTCAGGTCAACTTTGCCTGAGGGAGTTGGAACTTTAGTTTCTTAATAATTTCTTTTTTATGAAAAGCAAATTTAAATAAGTAAAAGTTATGAATCATGTCTGTAGGAAACAAATATACATAAACTTACATGTTCTAAACAGTCTATGAACATGTTGAAAATTTCATCATAGCTAAGTAATGCAGCTTGGGACCACAGGAAGGCAGCACTACTGGTTTGTTCTGGAGGACTACATGGTTGAAGATCACCTTCATCTTCTTCGCTGTAGATATACAACAAATTCATGTTATATTGATGTTTGTTTAAAATCCTTTTCATGTTATGCCACATTGGCTAGAGGTATAGGGGGAGGGTTGAGATCTCACAAAACATATATAACCCCGCCACATTTTTGCGCCTGTCCCAAGTCAAGAACCTCTGGCCTTTGTTAGTTTTTTTTTATTTTGGCTCATTTACATGGTTCAGAGTTCAGTGTGAAGTCCATTTTCTCTGACCTAGTATACATTATTGTTTAGGGGCAAGCTGAAGCCTGCCTCCGGGTGCGGGATTTTCTCGCTGTGTTGAAGACCCATTGGTGGCCTTGGGCTGTTTTCTGCTCTTTTGTCAGGTTGTTTGTTCTGTCTTTGACGCATCCCTGTTTTCATTCTCAATTTTATATGATATGATACATAGATCATAACCATAGTTGGATATAGATGAGAATGCTCTCAATGTTAAATATATCAAGCAAATTTTGAAATTTCTTACTATAAGTTTTATTTAAAGACTCCTACTATTTTGTGTGTATCCCTGCCTGGAACCATTTAATTAACCATCGACATGACCCACAAAAAATGTTGTTTGACATGTGACCTTGTTATAATATTAAATATTAAAAGGCAGGAAAATGTAAATACAAATAAACAGGTCAGCACACGTAACAGTATAATGTTATTAATTTAGTTCTAATTGATTTCATTTCCTAGATTACAGCTCTTCTATAAAAGCATGCAAAGCAAACCTTTAATCAACTTGCTTGCTATGTTTGCTTGGATGTTTGCAAACAATAGGTAGGTGGAGTTTCAGTCTGTTTTGTATATACTGAAATTTGATTAGACAATAATAAAATGCTCCGCTGGGGCGCAGCTTGATACGACCGCAGAGGTCGAACCCTGAACAGTTGGGGCAAGTATGGACACAACATTCAAGCTTGATACAGCACTGAATTTGGATTGTAATTAAATATTTGACACAGCATAGGTTTCTCACACAGAATGAATGTGGTCTAAGAACTTAGAAATTTTTAATTTACCTATTCAAACCATATCATTATTATTTGCTTTTATATATAAATCAGATATAACCAATTTAAAATGGAAAATTTTAAAGAAAAAAAAGGGAAAAAAAAATCACCCCCCCCCCAAATTTTTTGAACCCCCTTATGATTCATCACCCCAAACTCAATCCCAGCCTTCCCTTTGTGGTATGGTACCTTGAAGTACAATTTCAGAGAGATCCGTACACTTGAACACAAGTTATTGTCTGGAAACTAGAAAAATGCTTGTTTTTTGGCCCCTTTTTGGCCCCAAATTCCTAAACGTTTAGGGCAATTACCCCCAAACTCAAACCCAGCTTTCCCTTAGTGATATGGAACCTTGCAGTACAATTTCATAAAGATCCATACACTTACACACAAGTTATTGTCCTGAAACTGGAAAAATGCTTGTTTTTTTGCCCCTTTATGGCCCCTAATTCCTAAAATTTTGAGGGAATTACCCCCAAAATCAATCCCAGCCTTCCATTTGTGGTATGGTAACTTGCAGTACAATTTCAGAGAGATCCATACACTTAAACACAAGTTATTGTCTGGAAACTAGAAAAATGCTATTTTTTTGCCCCTTTTTGGCCCCTTATTCCTAAACGTTTTGGGCAATTACCCCCAAACTCAATTCCAGCTTTCCCTTTGTGGTATGGAACCTTGTAGTACAATTTCATAAAGATCCATACACTTACACACAACACACAAGTTTTTGTCATGAAACTAGAAAAATGCTTGTTTTTTGCCCCTTTTTGGCCCCTTATTCCTAAAATTTGGAGGCAATTACCCCCAAAATCAATCCCAGCATTCCCTTTGAAATATGGAACCTTGTGGTACAATGTCAGAGAGATCCATACACTAACACACAAGTTATTGTCATGAAACTAGAAAAATGCTTGTTTTTTGCCCCTTTTTGGCCCCTAATTCCTAAAATTTGGAGGCAATTACCCCCAAAATCAATCCCAGCATTCCCTTTGTGATATGGAACCTTGTGGTACAATGTCAGAGAGATCCATACACTAACACACAAGTTATGTCTGGGAGTTACAAAAATGCTTATTTTTGGCCCCTTTTTGGCCCCTTATTCCTTAACTGTTGGTACCATAACCCCCAAAATCAATCCCAACCTTTCTTTTGTGGTATTGAACCTTATGGTAAAATTTCATAGAGATCCATCCACTTAAACTAAAGTTAGAGTGCGAAAACCAATGTGTCTTCGGACGACGACGACACCAACGTCCTACCAATATACGACCACAAAAATTTTTTTGCGGTCGTATAAAAATTGACATGCAATGAAGTTAATGTTTATTGTCCAATCAAATTCCAGTATATAGTAAACAGACTAAAACAGACTACCTACCTTTTGTTTTACAAACATCCAAACAAACATAGCAAGCAAGTTAATCAAAGGTTTGCTTTGCATGCTTTTATAGAAGAGCTGTAAAACATATAAATTAAATGCCTGTATAAGACTGATTTTCTGCAGGTTGAACCAACCAATGAAATCAGTCTTCCTGTTGCTGCCCTCCATAGTTTCACTTTTTCTGCTGACATTTGTTCATCACTGGACATGCTTAGCACATGTTCAGTCCATCTCCAACAAAGGGTCAAATTAAAGGTTACCTGTCCATTTAAACTTTTGTAAGTTTCTTTTGTCTCATCTAATATATATAATAGCTATTGTTCTCTGTGGAGTTTATCCAATGGAACCTTTAAATTTTTTCTAAGAGAAATCCATCACTCAATGATTAATTTACCTGAACAAAAAATTTAACTTTCAATGATGAAAATACATGTAGCAATACTAAATAAGGACACACAAAACTGCACTTGATGTTGAATTCATGATTAAATCAGTGTTTATATTAAACAGATTGAAAATCTATTATTAATATTGGATAAATACAACATCACATGCAGTTTTGTGAGTTGAATCATGTATTTTCATCTCCTTAGAAGATCATTTTTTTCTTCAGGTAAATTAATCAATGAGTGATGGATTTCTCTTAGAAGAAATTTAAAGGTCCCAGTGAATAAACCACACAGAGAACAATAGATATTGTATTTATTCAATCGGACAAGTGAACTGACAAAAGTTTAAATACCTTGACCAAGACGAGATGACTCTGTGGAAAACTTTCATTTGGTTCGCAATAATGTTTGTTAACAAAAATAATCATACTTTAATTTTCTGTCTCAATCATAGCTAGTGCCACTTTAATCCTAGGAATTTAATAAAACTTTATAAAACATATCCTCTTCAACTGTTTCCATTCTTATACATCCTTGGCTTTCAAATATTTGGCTTTGAGCATTCCTGCTGAAGGTAAATCCAGCAAAGTGCTTTGGATGCATGAAATTTATAAAGTGTTGTTTTCAGTTTTTATTGTTTATAATTTTCAAAACGGGAGAAATTACTGACAACAGAGAATCTTTAAAATTGAAATAACTAATTACCTGGTTTGGCACACAATATAGGGACTAAATATAAATTGATTGTCTTCTTGACTTTTATCAATAAATCCTAATCTATGTAAACTGTCACATCTTAATAGCAAAAATGATTCTAATATCTGAAATTATAAATGATAATTGGTAACTATAACATATTATAAAAGATAATTTGTAACTATAACATACAGTAATTTGCACATATGTTCTATTTTAAACTACAATAAATATATAAGCAAACTAATAACTAAATGAAGTACTTATTACAAGATCAATCCATTTTGTTGAATTCTAAGATTATCCCCCTGAAGTACAGCATCACTAAAAGAAATGTACATTTTTAGCCAATGATGTGCTAGAGTTACTTCACTTTCTGATATTTATAATTCTCTTTTTTATCAAGTAATGTAATAGATAACTGTGTATGCAAGTAGATGATTATGGAATTTAAGAGTAATTTGATTTTTGATTTTTTTGGTGTTTTAACGCCACTTTTAAGCACCGCTTTTGGGCTATTTCGTTGCGGCCAGTTTTTATTGGTGGAGGAAGCCGGAGTGCCCGGAGAAAACCACCGACCTTCGATAGAAAAACTGACAATCGTAGTCAATTAAGATTGGAGTCGAGTGCACCTGCACGAGTGGGGTTCGAACTCACAACCTCAGTGTTGACTGTCTAGTGATTACAGTAGTAACTACTTAGACCACTCGGCCACCAAGGCCCCTATATTTTAAGAGTAAGTTGTTATATAAAAACATAATACTGTTATTTATTATCTTTTTCTTCAATTAAACTTACAGCTTTCCTAACAGTAGCAGCGGCATAACTGACATACTCTTTAGGTGAAGAATACTGGTTTTTCATATGAGTGATCAACAATTCATACAACTTCAAACACTGGTTTGATGGCCGTGTGTATAACTTTGTCTGCAACCAAGAAAATAAAAATATCACTTAAAAGAGTTAGAACAAGTAAAAACTGTTTTAAATGTCATAATTCTGCCAACCTAAATCTTAACTGAAAATTAGTGAAACTCTTAATATATTCAATTCAAAAGTAATTAATATTAACTGATAAATATTTTTTTCAATAAGGAGCTGCATAAAATGTATATTCCTCATTTTGCCAAAAAATAAAATAATAATAATCACATGGCAAAAGCTTTTCAAGAACAAAAAAATACTGTTTTATTATATCAAACAGATTATGATTATCTTACTTTAAATAAATCTACTAATCCTAATAATGATGTTTTAATGTCCACCAGGTGGCTCTCTTCCAGTTTCTGTAACATATCACTGCCGTCCATCCCTGGATGTGGTGAAGTTAGGTAGGCTACCATTGGTCTTGTTATTAACTTGTCAAGGAGTCCTATTATATCAGCAAAACAAGCAGGACTACAACTCTGTGCCAGACATATCAATATGTCTGCTGCAACCTTTCTAACTACAGGGTCTTTGTCAGTTTCAATATGGCTGAGATGTGGCAGCACAACATTGTTGATCAAATCATCCTAAAAGTACATCAAATCTCTCTTCATTATTATATACTTCAACTGATTCTTTTAAACTGTGAATATATACTATACAGAATGTCCTTTAACACTTATACGAACAGTCCATAGACACTAGTACAAACAGTTTTGTTGGTTAAGTACATTGGGGTTCTTTACTGGTTGAAATTCTTGTTAAAAATCAGAAAACCTTTAGAATAACTTTAAAAGAAAATAAAAGGCCATATTTGCAAATGTTTGGTCAATAATGACAAAAACAATAGTAGTGATAAATGATTACTGAAATAAACAGTCACAAAAAAATCGAAGCATTATTTTAGGGTCAATATCACCAATTTTATGTCCATACATCAATCTTACAGTACACATATTGGAAATAATCTTTTTCACTTTACAATGATAAGCGGTATTTTGAAGATTTTTTTATCTATACTTGTGAGTTTTTTGTCATCCATTTAACACTGCTGTATTCAGTATTACTGTAAGTGATATTAATATTATATTATTATTGTTTAGGTATTTTGATATTAAGAAATCTTTTATCCTCAACTGTAATGGGCCTTTTAAGCTCACCATTAAAGACACTGCAGTGAGCTCTTACTGTTAGCTCTTATACAATAAATTGTGTGATGTATTACCCCATATCTTTTCATTGCTATTCTTATAAATAATTAAATTAAGTCATACCTCATGCATATGTTTATTGACACTGAGTGTAAAGGACAAAATGTTCAATGCTTTCACTCGTATCACTGTCCTGTGTTCATGTCTGAAAAAGATGGAATTTATTATAACATTACAAATATATGATCAAACTTACTGATGAAGTTACAGTTTTACAATTTTGGTATTAACCTTTAACAAAAAACAATAAATTTATAGACATAATTTTTTTTTAGACAATTAACTTTTATTTTTATACTGTACAAGACATATTTCCTGGTATTTATCAAGTCATAATAATAAAAGATTATTAATTATGCAAATAAACTGGATTATAGCTATTTTACGAATTTTTCCTTTGGTCTTGCTGACTGATAATTTCCTTTCTCAGCGGAGTCGAGTGATATGAAAATTATCGCTAGAAACTAAGGGAACACGTGCCGTTGTCAAGGAAATTAACAACGTCTTCATAGGTAAAATAGCAATAAACAGATTATCATTGGTCATCTCAACTCTATCGCTTTTCTCAATTTCACAGTACCGGCTCAAGCGAGAAAATCAATCTCGTTGAGATAACCAACAATAATCTATAACTATTTTTAAAAGTAAGATATTGTAAATGTCTATCAGAGAATATGCTTGAAAATATCATACCAAGAACTTATCTAAAACCTAACATTTTTATGGATTACCGGTACCTGAAATATTTGTCCAATAATTGGTACATGTTAGATAACCAGTTCTCCTTTCCTGGGTGGATTTGCTGAGCATCATAATCAATTAACATTAAAACTGAACTTTCCTGTAATTAAAAAAAACCAATAATAATGTAAATCTTTATAAACACAAAGCAGCTCTTTAAAGGACATTTGCCTTTACAATTTTGTGTGATTTAATAAAAGGCTTCAACAAAATACAATTGGGAACACATACAAACTGATTTTTATAGTTTGTTCTTATGTTGTGCTGTTACACCACTGTCCCAGGTAAGGGGAGGGTTGAGCGCTCACAAACATGTTTAACCCTGCCACATTCTTTGTGTGCTTGTCCCAAGTCTGGAGCCTGTAGTTCAGTGGTTGTTGTTGGTTCATGTCTGTCATATTTGTTTTTCGTAAATTGTTTTGTTATAAATTAGGCTGTTAGTTTTCTCAATTGAATTGTTTCATATTTTTCATGTAAGGGCCTTTTATAGCCATCTATACTGCATGTGTTTTTCTCATTGTTGAAGGCTGTACGGTTGCCTATAAATGCTTACATCCACTTTATTTGAACTTTGGTGGATAGTTGTCTCATTGGCAATTATACCACATCTTCTTATTTTTATGTTGATACCTGTCATGTGACAAGCAAGGGTAGGGGAAATCATGTATCTGTTGATTTATTTTTCTAGCATGATACACAGCTGAAGTCTTATATCTGGTGATAATTTTCTTGTTATTGCATCAACAAGTGAATACCTGTGAACTTTTTAATATATGATGAAACAACAAGATGAAATGTTAATTATTGACCACTAATGATACCCTTGCTATAAGTATTGTTCAACAGGAAATAGATGAGTGAAAGAAAGTTAAAAGACATAATACAGTATAGTAGGCTCACATGACAAATTACAGGATCCGAGATTTGTAGTTTCTGAGAAAAATGAGAAGAAATATCATATATGGCCATTTATGTAGGAATATATAAGTATTTTGTTTACAGGAAGTAAATGAGCAATGGATGGGAAACACATCACATGTAATAGCATACTCACATGAATGCTTAATACACAATTTCAGGAAGCTGTGATTTGTAGTTCCTGAGGAAAATGTGACGGAAATTTCACAGGGCAGACCGAGGGACAGACACATGGACAGAAAGACAGATATAAATCAGTAAACACTCATCCTTAGCAACAGCTGTCAATGTCCCATCAAAAGTCAAGTTCCTTCTTAGTCATTCCAACTGTAAATCTTAATCTAGACAGATTCCATATTATGACTGATTTGTGATTGTCAAATCAGGTATAAACTTTACGCAAATTACTTTGGAATAAATTACCTTATATTGTTATGGTTTAGAGGTAGGCTGTACGTTTGTACGTACAACTTTTTCTGGCTACTCAGTATACACTCACTTCTACTTTCACGTTCGTCGTTTACTGTTAGCCAACAGGTATACAAAGACATTTGATGAACATAACAAATACTTTTATTGTTATTGCATGTAAATTTTGTTGAATAATGATATAGAGTTCGTCTTCACTGTTTGACCAGGGAGGGTCCCATGACTGAAAGACAGTTCCCAACTTCTGTTTACCCTTATTTCACATATTCCCGCTTTATTACCTTTTTATTTTATTTGCGTAAGACCAGAATATTGTAACTGGGGCCCATGCATGCTCAGAGAAAGCTTAGTTAAGTCCTGTTTGTCCATTATCCGACTTGACAGAATGACAACATTCGCAATTGCCGCCATTGCATCAGCAAGTTTATTGATGTCAGTAACCTCATGACCTGAGATCAACATCAAATCAGCATTACAAAATTTGCCCACATTCACCATAGAGGCACCAGACTTTTGTCGGACAATTGTATAAAAGCAAGTGCATATCAGTTTTGAAAGAGACTGCAGCCCGCTACCAGGATGTTATCTATGATATCCAGGAAATTACCAGAGCAAACCAAATATACGCAACAGTCGATGCAACCATAAAGTACACATACCTGTGATATTGTATGCATCCCTGTTGGATAAATGGAACAAACCAAGGTTGACCTAGATGTTTTACTACATTTACTACGATGTTGAAAAACGATTAATGTACCATAAAGAGGGGTCTCTGTATATTTTATAAGTGTAATAACTAAAGTACTATGGCGGGTTTTTATGTGATTTATACTTTGAACAAGAATGTGTCCATAGTACATGGATGCCCCACTCGCAATATCATTTTCTATGTTCAGTGAACCGTGAAATTGGGGTCAAAACTCTAATTTTGCATTAAAATTAGAAAAGATCATATCATAGTAAACATGTGTACTAAGTTTCAAGTTAATTGGACTTCAACTATATCAAAAACTACCTTGACCAAAAACTTTAACCTGAAGCTAGACAGACAGACTAAAGGACAGACGAACGTTCGGAAGGACGGACGGACGAACAGACCAAAAAACATAATGCTCCTAGGTGGAGCATAAAAATATTTAATGATTTGTATATTATAAATTGTAAAGTTTAATTCAATCTTGTTATCTGTTGTTCATGTAATAAATAAGTCAAAGTATCAGAGCTACCATATTTAAACCAGTGCCTTAGCTATTTTGCAACATGCTACGCTACCATTGCCTTGACTATTTAGCCAGCTTCACTACGAGTATTACTTAGTTTGTAACCTGCATAAATACTTTTTTTAATTATGGGACATACCTACCCGTCCCATAACAGTATATAGCTAATACATTTATTTACTGTTACATTTAATAACAGGAACATTTAATTACTGTTAATTCAGAAATCATTGCATGTATTTATAATTGTTATTGTAATTGTTGAAAAATGAACACAAATGCTAGATTAGTTCATTTGACTTCAGCAAATGGTACATACAAATAATGCACCCAGAATTTTAAAATACGAGTTTAATTATTGTGATAATAACCCTGTTAAATTTTCATACAAAATTTATGAGGAAATACTTACTGGTCTTTTAGTAGAACATAACTCTATGATTTTAAAGAATCTGGATACACAACCACTATAATGACCATGTGCATACAGTTCCTCAATTGTTGTTAAGATTTCGTGCAAATTTGCAACCATCTGTGTAAACCCTTGCTGTGTTGTTTGGACTGGAGTCTAAATGGAAAAGAATTTTTTCTCATAATTTCTACAGTACAATCGCTATATGAGAGTAGTAAACTCTATGATTCCATGATTTTTACTACAGTTAAATGCCTTTAACTGATTTATTGGTAGGACCCTTTGGCCTACTAAAAGTTATAAATACAATTTAATATCCATTGCAAATATAACAAAAGTGCACACGCTGAAATGTCTCGCCTGCTTTACTGACCTTTGATTTTATGTTGATAGTCCTAAATATAAAGCTTTACTACGAGTATCACATGTTAACATGATCCGAGAAAATGAGGTCAAGGTTAGATAAACCAAACTGGAAATACATGTACACCTTACAATCATTCTATTCACCAAATATAGTTGACCTAATACTTATAGTTTCTAAGAATCAAACTTAACCAGGAAAACTTAACATTGACCAATGAACCATGAAAACGAGGTCAAGGGCAGATGAACCATGCCTAACAGACATGTATACCTACAATCAATCTATTCATTAAATATAGTTTGACATATTGTTTATAGTATCTAAGAAACAAACTTAACTATGAAAACTTAACATTGACCAATGAACCATAAAAATGAGGTCAAGGTCAGATGATACCTGCAAGACAGACATATACATCTTACAATCATTCCATACACTAAATATAGTTGACCTATTGCTTATAGTATCTAAGAAACAAACAACTATGAAAACTTAACATTGACCAATGAACCATAAAAATGAGGTCAAGGTCAGATGATACCTGCCAACAGAAATATACACCTTACAATCATTCCATACACCAAATATAGTTGACCTATTGCTTATAGTTTAAGAAAAACAGATCAAAACACAAAAACTTAACAATGAGCAATGAACCGTGAAAATGAGGTCAAGGTCAAATAAAACCTGCCAGAATGACATGTTCATCATAAAATATTTGCACACACCAAATATAGTTGACCTATTGCATATAGATTAAGAAAAACAGACAAAAACACAACTTAACTTTAACCACTGAACCATGAAAATGAGGTCAAGGTCAGCTGACATCTGCCAGTTGGACATGTACACCTTACAATCATGCCATACACCAAATATAGTAGACCAATTGCTTATAGTATCTGATATATGGACTTGACCATGAAAACTTAACCTTGTTCATTGATACATGAAATGAGGTCAAGGTCAGATGAAAACTGTCTGACAGGCATGAGAACCTTGCAAGGTACGCACATTCTAAATATAGTTTACCTATTACTCATAATAAGAGAGAAATTAACATTACAAAAAATATGAACTTTTTTTTCAAGTAGCCACTGAACCATGAAAATAAGGTCAAGGACAATGGACACATGACAGACAGAAACTTCATAACATAAGGCATCTATAAACAAAGTATGAAGCATCCAGGTCTTCCACCTTCTAAAATATAAAGCTTTTAAAGTAGTTAGTTAACGAAGCCGCCGGATCACTATCCCTATGTCGAGCTTTCTGCAACAGAAGTCGCAGGCTCGACAAAAATTCAGATACAAAACACTGTTATGTTAATATGTAAAAAGAATTCACATTCCAAATAATATTGTTGACTTGTATAGTTACTGATCTGACAGCAGAACTAATTTAGAAGGTAAAGAAATTTCTCAGGTATTATGAACGTTCACATATAAAATTGATGTGCAGTCTAGCAATCCAGTCTCTACACGTACAATAACTTTCTCCCCAGAATACCATAATATTCATCATCACAGCATAATTAATTCTAGTTCAAAGAAAAATGATTGCTTTTATTGCAACAGTGAAAGACATTTGTCCATTTAAAAAAGTCTCATTACAGAATATGTATACTGGCATTCAATATCTTCTTTCTTGAACTGTTGATAACAATGCTAGATATTATCTTGATTTTACTGTTATGTGTGAGCTATTTAGTTCATTATTCAAAATCTTTCCAGCAACTGTCAAGATGAATAAACTGTCGACACAGAGATACATCTTGCCTGTCAGCAGAAAATTGGAAGAAAAAACAATCTGATGGGCAACATTGCTAATTAATTCAAAGTCACTGGACCATGACCGAAATAGTTGTCAAACTGATATGTACTGATAGTAATGCAACTTTATAGAAAATATCATTGATCTATCACAAGTAGTTCCTATCAAACTAACTTAAGAAGAAAACTTAACAACTGTTGATGTCGCCATACATTACTGCCGGAAATGCAACACATATACCTTGCTTTTCGCTTCCGCAAATTTCTTTGCAGGCGAGATAAAAAACAGTAATAAAAGAATTGTTCCTTTTGCACATTGGTTATTTCTCAGTATTTCATTGGTAGTCCATCCTCTGTCTATATAAATCTGAAGCACACTCATATCTCATATAAGATAAGCTGAATATTTTTACAATTTGTTAGATATGTTTAAACTCTAGGAGCATGCTCAGACAATTTAATTTAAACTGATCATAGACAGATCATTGTATGGAGTCTACTTAGTCTCTACACAAACAATGAACATCTTAACACGACAACATGTCATCACTGCATGCTTATCTATCCATAGATTAATTGATTGGTTGTTGGTGTTTAAAGCCACTTTCGGCACCCTTGGCTATATCATGGCGAAGAGTTTCTACTGACAAGCCTTTATAACCTGAGAGAATCACCAACCTCCACTCATCCTTAGCAACAGCTGTCAATGTCCCATCAAAAGTCATGTCCCTTCTTAGTCATTATGACTTGTTTGTGATTGTCAAATCAGGTATTAACTATACTCAAATTCCTTTGAAATTTCTGTAGATAGTGAAATAAAGTAGCTTATGTAAAGCTAAGAGCATGCTCAGACAATTTAAGTGCTTTAAACTGATCATAAACAGATCATTGTATGGAGTCTACTTAGTCTCTACACAAACAATGAACATCTTAACACGACGATATGTCATCACTGCATGCTAATCTTTCCAGTTAATTGATCATAGATTAATTGATTGGTTATTAAGTGTTTAATGCAGTGTTCAACAACCTTGGCTATATCATGGTGATCAGTTTCTATTTGTTGAGGAAGCCTTATTACCCTGAGAGAACCACAACCTTATGTAGGAAACTGGCAATCATAGTCAATTAAGATCGGAGTGTTCATTGGGTATATGAAAAAAACAAAGTATCGTCATACAGAAAATTACTTCTAAGTTTACACAGTACAATTCATCAAGTTTAGTCACATGTTACAACACATTCCATGATTAATTGATCTTATAAAATTTTTAAAGTATCAACAAATAGGAAGTGACTACCTGGCAGATCTAAAATCACTAATATGGTACAACTCATCAAAATAAAGTTCCAATTCCAAATATTAAATCAATCATTAATACCAAAGTTGTGTAATCTGTTACAAAATTCATGGATTGCCATCTAATTGAAGTATATCCCACATCCATACCATACCTATATCATTTTTAAAACTTGGCTTTATCATTCTTACTTGCTCAGAGAAAAGCAACATTATTGATCACAGATATATCATTGACTGGAATCTCACTTGGAGACTCTACAAGAATATGATACATCTAACTTTTTCAACCTCTAATCATTGCAGTAAGAAAGATTTGGATTTTCAAAAGATAATCAAAAGTATGAAATGCCACTGCAATTGACAAAATCTAGTATGCATGCTCCTTAAAATCAGTAAATAACTTTAAAATGTATATTATTTCATTGGAAATTATTATAAAAAAAATGGTGAAAATTTATATGACCTAAACAAGAAATCCAAGGTTAATCCCTGATTTCCATGCCTAATATAGCAAAAAATTTACATATTTAGGTGATTCACTTGTTTTAATATTGTGGTGGCTCAAATAACAGTATAGATTTTTACTCACAGAGGCAAACTTAAATATTATAATGCAATTAACATTCAAATATATAAAAAAAAAAATGTTCTCCAACCCTAGTTTTCAAAATGTTGTTTCAAAGTTCTATAGTATAATCTTCTTCCTGTTCTCATTATCATGTTTTCCATACATAATCCTTATAAAATACAGAAATTAAGCACATTATGAAGAATGAAACAAGGTAGGTGATAAAAAAAAAATTCATTATAATTTCTAAAATAAATTGATAGAAACAAAACATTAAATTGGCAAGACTTCCTTTTGAACACCCTTCATGTTTGTCTATGCTTAGTCTGTCAAAAAGAGGGGGTTCAAAAGGAAGTCTTTCCTTAAAAGACTCTTATCTTCCTAAAGATTGGGAGATAATATGGTTGTACTTATTTACAGTTCTAAATAACAACGTGACTATGGTAAAATTACCAAGCATGCTCAGAGTTATATTAGGTTCATTGATCAAAGATATACCACTGCATGGAATCTTACTAGAAGACTCTACAAGTACTATGATATACCTCAGTACGACAGATCTGCTCATCACTGCATGAAATTGACCTGATCAGCAGTGCTTAAAAAGATATTGCTACAGATTTTACTTTTGACTCCAACGTAGTTGATGCTGGTGGCCATTTTGACTGTCAGATTAGCATCAATGTAAAAACCACTATGGTTGACCAATCATAATCAAATAGACTATTAAAGTCACAAGGAACCTTTCTGTTATATTTGACTTTTACTCATTTTGCCATTTCAAGATAAAAAATTCTACACAAATATTACCGTAGATACTAGTTTACAAGTCGGATACTTGGGTATAAAATCATGTATACTAGAAGAGTTACAACAATATTGGAATTTCCTAATTTAGTTTTATAATATACCTCAAATAATTTGAGAAGACTTTCCATAATATCCAGTATACAGTTCCAGGTGACATACTGTAATTCTTTACCATACTTTTTCAATAGTCTCTGTACACTTAATATTACTTCATGTCCAACCATGTAACTGTTCGTTGATAGCACCTGTTCAGAAAATTTTACAAGATTTCAATAATGGTGAAGGCTATTTGATTTTACCTCATTACATATATACCTAGAAAAGTATCTTGAAATTCTTTTTATACAGAAATAACTTACAACCTTCACTTTAGACAAAAGTATGTGTGAAGGTATTTCTCAATTCTCTTGGGGAAAATAACAGCAAATTTACCTGCACTCCTAAGGCATTCAGGCTATTTTGATGCTCTAATCTTATGAGATATAAAAGTCAAATTTAAAAGGAATAGCCATGACATTACATACATTACACATTTAAAGTGACTTCTTCTAGAGGATTGAAAAATATATTGCATGTCATTTCATGTCTGACTAATGTAGAGATGATGTAATATTTGGGTGGTTTGTGCATGAAATTGTAACAGAAGGTTCTAAGATTTAAAACCATTGATGGATTTAGGTGCAAAATGACTACCCATTGTAAAAATGATATTGTCCCAATATATTAGACATACCTGTAGAAATGAAGGAAGCACAGATGAAGCCGTGTGTTTTAATGATGGCACTTTCTTACAGCCCCAAAGAGCCATTCCAATGAAAAAAACAGCACCACGTAATAACTCATGGTCAATTGGTTGTCGCCTGTTTGGAAATACTAATACATGTAACTTCGTACCATTATTTTTTCATCACACATTCTTACTCTATTTCTATTTTGTGGCATTTTATTCACAAAAATTAAATCATTAAATTTTTTTCTCATAACTCAATACGTGAAACTGGCCAAATCTAAGAAGAACTTCATTCAAATAGTTACTTTTTTTCTATTTTTCCCTGACTCTAGTCTTAATAATAATACCAATATAATCAGTATTTTTATTATTATCATCTTCAAAAGAGATTTGAACAACTCTTAAATAATATAGCATTACCAACAGACCCTAACATACCTTTTTGGGGTTTGCAGGTGTTGTGCCTCGATTATTTACAGTAACATTTTTAGCATTCATTTCATTCGTATTTCCCGGCATATATTTTCTGCAAAAGTGGGTCATACTTATTTTCACTTTTGTACACTTGCTTATTATGCGGAATGATCTTTCATAGTAACAACATAATTACCTTATTCAGACGTTATTAATGCATCCTATTTAATCCATATTTATCCTTTTATAAAGTTAGAATTATCCCAAATCCTACTTGTCAACTAGAAGGCCACGTTGGTTCACTTTCACATTTGTGTACACATGTACTATTTTTAGCTTCATAAAATATAGTCAGTTTCAAATTAGAGTTGAGACTGAACACCTGATTTGACAGTTCACAGTATTTTATTATTCAGGTATTTTTGCACACACTGCAAGTTATTTCACATATATTGTAATTTATTTATAATAATTAATAACTATTATTAATGGTATTAGCTTTTAATAAAGCTGCTTTTATTTATCTAAACAAATCTTGTTTCTAATTTTACAAAGTTTGGACTTTCATAACAGTTTAATACTGTGACTTTTATAATTGATATTTGCATAATATCTGCCAACCATTTATAGTATCGGTTGGCGCTTCAGCAGGTACAAAGATTAAGCCAATCATATCTTTATGAGTCAAACAGCAGGTATTATTTAATATCGGTATGAAAATGGTGGTACCTCTACTTATTTTATCATATTCTCTTGATTATCTCAAAAACAATGCTGTTTCTGTACTTCATTACTTTTTGTGGGATACTGATTTTCGTGGATTTCATGGGTACAGTGAAACCTCAAATTTAAATGTTAAACAAATTCCAAATTGTTTATAGGCTTGTATGCAGACTTTGACAGAACCAAAAAATCAAATATCTACGAAAATGCAATCAAAGAAACAAACCAAACTGTGAAAACTTAACATTGACCATTGAACCATGAAAATAAGGTCAAGGCCAGATGATACATGACAGACAGATATGTACACCTAACAATCATTTCATGCACCATATATAGTTAACCTATTGCTTATAATATCTAAGAAACAGACTTAACCAGGAAAACTAAACATCAACCAATGAACCATGAAAATGAGGTCAAAGTCAGATGATCCCTACCAGACAGACATTTAAACCCTACAATCATTCCATACACAAAGTAAAGTTCAACTATTACTTATACTAGTATTTGATAAAACAGACAAAACCACAACAACTCAACATTCACCAATGAAACATGAAAATGAGGTCAAGGTCAGATGAAACCTACCAGACTGATATGTACCCATTACAATCATTCCATACACCACATATACTTGACCTACTGCTTATAGTATTTGAGAAACGGACATTATCATGTAACTTTAACCTTGATCACTGATCCATGAAAAAAGTGGAGGTCAGGTGAACCCTGTCTGCTGGACATGTAGACATTGCAAGGAACCCATATATAAAATATAGTTATCCTATTACTCATAATATGTGAGAAATTCACATTACAAAAAACTATAAATTTTTTTTCAATTAGTCGCTGAACCATGAAAATGAGGTCAAGGACCATGGACATATGACAGATGGAAACTTTGTAACATTAGGTATCTGCATACAAGATATGAAGCATCCAGGTCTTTTCCCTTCGGAATTTATACAAAAAGTTTACACCGCCGCTGCTGCAGGATAGTAATCCCTATGTCTTCCATTCTGTGATTTTCGTCACAGGCAAAACAAAAATATTAGAATTAAGCCTAATGATATTCTTACTTGTTTTGCAACATACAACACATGGTGTAAATAGTACTATGGCCTAGGTGAGTTCCTAATAACTTCCTCATCAACTACAAAATGAAAGAAAAAGTCAGGATATTCATAAAGAAACAAGCAACAAATTTATTACTAGTTATAAGGTATACAGTTATCTATGTAGACATATAAATAATGACTATGGAGATTTTGTAAGTGTTATAAAGGCTTTTCCCTGCTTTTAATATCTCCTACAAATTTAACAAACATGTTCAACCACAATGAAATCTGTGTCAAAACCCTATTATGGGATATATTTTAATGTTCACATCATTATGAGCATGATTAATAAGTTTGAAGTTGATGTGGCTACAATTTTATGGTAAATAACCTTACACCAAAACTTTAACATTATTTATGACAGATTGACGAACACACATACCTAAAAATACAATGTCCCCTTCAATCTTAGACAGAGCATAAATATAATTAAGATCCCTCTAGCTAATAGATTTTTATCCCTTGGGAGTATAAACTAACAATACCTTTCAAGTGGTGATTGTTTTGTCAACACTATTTAATGATTGTTAGTGTTTGCTTGTTGGTTCATTCTGTATGCCTCGGTTTTTTTCTGTTTTCCACACATTTTTTTTTATTTAAGTACTGATTTTAATACAAACATTACTTACATCCCAGCTTGACTGACAAAAATGTGCCATATTGACCATGCGACATAAGGCAGCAATGAAGTAATCTAAGCATTCTGTAGGCAAAAAACTGTAACACAGTACAGTATTCAGTACATCCAAACAACCCTATAATCAGATAATAAAGTGAATGAGTGAATCATTGTCACACAGTACAGTATTCAGTACATCCAAACAACCCTATAATCAGATAATAAAGTGAATGAGTGAATCATTGTCACACAGTACAGTATTCAGTACATCCAAACAACCCTATAATCAGATAATAAAGTGAATGAGTGAATCATTGTCACACAGTACAGTATTCAGTACATCCAAACAACCCTATAATCAGATAATAAAGTGAATGAGTGAATCATTGTCACACAGTACAGTATTCAGTACATCCAAACAACCCTATAATCAGATAATAAAGTGAATGAGTGAATCATTGTCACACAGTACAGTATTCAGTACATCCAAACAACCCTATAATCAGATAATAAAGTGAATGAGTGAATCATTGTCACACAGTACAGTATTCAGTACATCCAAACAACCCTATAATCAGATAATAAAGTGAATGAGTGAATCATTGTCACACAGTACAGTATTCAGTACATCCAAACAACCCTATAATCAGATAATAATGTGATTGAGTAAATCAATGTAACATAGTACAGTATTCAGTACATCCAAACAACCCTATAATCAGATAATAAAGTGAATGAGTGAATCATTGTCATACAGTACAGTATTCAGTACATCCAAACAACCCTATAATCAGATAATAAAGTGAATGAGTGAATCATTGTCACACAGTACAGTATTCAGTACATCCAAACAACCCTATAATCAGATAATAAAGTGAATGAGTGAATCATTGTAACATAGTACAGTATTCAGTACATCCAAACAACCCTATAATCAGATAATAAAGTGAATGAGTGAATCATTGTCACACAGTACAGTATTCAGTACGTCCAAACAACCCTATAATCAGATAATAAAGTGAATGAGTGAATCATTGTAACAACGTACAGTATTCAGTACATCCAAACAACCCTATAACCAGATAATAAAGTGATTGAGTAAATCAATGTAACACAGTACAGTATTCAGTACATCCAAACAACCCTATAATCAGATAATAAAGTGAATGAGTGAATCATTGTAACATAGTACAGTATTCAGTACATCCAAACAACCCTATAACCAGAAAATAATGTGAATGAGTGAATCAATGTCTTCAACGTATATACCAGTTTGAAAAATTAATGAGTTGATATTACAAAGTTGAATCCTATACAGAAAATTTATGAATTAAATTTTATAGTGATTCTGAATTCAATCTTTGTGCATGCTACCTAGCCAAAAACAAAATAATTGGGAATAAAAAACATCTATTGTTTTACCACTTATTCATCATCTTATTTTTATTTATTGGATTCCTTCCTTTTTTTAATATTTCTACCTCTTAATTCTCAAAATATTGTTATTCTACTGCGAAATCTCCAATCTGCAATTTAATAATTTTACAGGTAGACTGTGGAACAACTACAGACATTAACAATGTAATAAAGATTAATATATTTTACCTTAAACTTAAATGATATTGACAGTATATTGTACTGTATTTACTACCAGGATATAAATTATCATACTTATAAAACAAAGCACCAAATCTATTACATGCAATAACATGTCAAATTTTACAAAATATTTCAACAGCTCATGTAAAGATCACGAAATCATAATGACAATATAGTATGGTCAACAGCACATAATGAATCACAATCCAAATAGCTGTAGGTCAAAAGGTCTCGAAGTGCCTTTATGTGCCAATAGGCCAAAAATATTCAAAGTACCATAACTTGTGCAAAGTTATATGTGCAAGTTATATTAAAATGGCAGAACAGTATAAAAGTATATGGACATGGTCTCAGAGCAGTAGCATTCACAATGTGACATTATGCTACAACTGGTCTTATGCTCAAGTCCCATAACTCCTGGAAGATTTGTCAAATAAAAAGGGTTCTATAAAATGGTAAACTACACATGATGAATTGTGAAGACTTTCAGACAAACAGTCTCAGGAGAGTAGAGTACTACAATAGACCAAAATATGATCAAAGTCCAGTAACTCCAGCAAAAAAAGTCATATCAAGATGGCTGTATTATTAGACAAATGCTCACTGATGAAAAGTGTTCACAGTGCAATGCAGGACAAACAAAATGATAGTAAATTACACAATAAATTCTAAATAATTTACTATCATTTTACAATTGGTGTTCTTGATTGAATACAGTGAAGCGTTACTGATCAGATGGTCATTTAGGCCACCAAAGATAAATATCCCAAGTTAAGTAATCCCAAATCATTCTTACCTTATTTATTTCTTCTGAGTTACCTTTATTTGTCACCATGCATGTCTGTCTGTTAAAAATAATAGAATATTGTATATGAGTTATTCAATTGCATGCAATACCAATTATTATGAGTTGGTCATCTGCTCCTATCAAAGCAATTGCAAATGTGTTGAAACTAAGTACTTTATTTAATGTATGAAAAGGCATTGTTTTACTTCTGATTACCAATATAATTTCTATGTATAAAGATTAAATGATGTTTTTTACTCTTTGTTTACTCCCCTATAATTTTACAAGGCTATTACTAAATTTTCAGCACAATATGATACTTGTCTTGCTTCTCTGAAAGAATTAATAAGGATTCTTCTTGGTATTTTCTATTGTTAATAATAGAACAATGATAAAATACACAAATGCCACTGCCCATGTGCACAAACAAATGATTTATGAAAGATGTCACTGAACTAATCAACCTTTTAAATATTACACACACAGTTAATTCTGCATAAGGTTTCCTAATGTTTGTAGGTATGTAAATTTACACGTACTTTGGTCAATTCTTACAATGTTTTTTTTTTGGTCAATTGATTCTATCTTCAATTTAACTTACTTCACTATTCCCGAGACCACAGGTTCATCTAAGTAAGCAGCATTAAACTTGATAACATTGTCAATAAGTTCTAAATATTCCTTTATCTTCCCTGGTGACAATACTACTTGTGGCATCCATTTAAGCAGAAAAGGTCCTTCAATAATTATTTGAAAATCATCTGACAGTGTTAATTGAAAATCATCTGACAGTGTTAATTGAAATCTTTCTATCTCAGTTATCACTTCAACCCTAAAACAGGTCTTTTCATTATCGTATTTTTAAAGATTATATAGGATTATTTTTTATGTAGCTATGCTGATACGGTTGTCATTGAATTCAGTACTTTTTGGGGGATTTGTTTTCACTGAAGAGTTTTCTAGTATATAGTTTGTCTACATACATGTCATAAATCAGAGGACTGTTGAAAACTCAATCCTGCCATAAGTGACTGTCAAAAATCATTAATATTGTCTGTGTTCGAGGCTCATTATTTAGGTTTTTGCTAACTTAAGACTTTGGTGTGGGTGTCAGAATCCAAGCCATTTCTGAGGAATTCATTCAAAATTGTATACAGTCAATTGATTTAAAGCTTGCCTAAATGGTCAAGTTATTTATTTATCTTTGACAGTCTCGTGGTGAACTCTAGATGTCTGTTTTGGCAAACTTGCATTATTGAGTTGCTGTCTTCTTGAAGTTTACCCTCTCTCCATTTATCTGTATAAATATCTAGTCTGGACATAATATTTAGGGTAGACAGAAAGAACAAAAGAAAGAAGTAGAAGAAACTATATGGCCTGTCCATTTTGTGGTAGAATCATAAAAAAGTGATATTGTACACACCAATAATTGACAAATCATTTAACAGATTTCTTAGCTTTTAAATTTTAAAACTTTTAAAACTAGGGAATTAGCTGTTTTTCATGGAAATATGGGTTTTAATGAGGCTAGAAGAACTATCATACTAAAGACTAATAAAATGAAAGTGTTGGAAAACTTCTTTAGATCTTTTATGAAGTTCAAAATTGGGGAACAGTGAAACAAATGTAGAAAATATATGTCTGAAATTGACAGATTTAGAAACTTAATATTTGACCAGTCAATATGTTTGATAGTCTTAGCATCTTCATAAATGATGCATCACATAATAAACACATAAAACCATGATGTTCCCAAAATGTGACACTGTTTCAGCATTGGTCCATTCCCAATGACTTTATGCCCATTATTTGTAGACAATCATTTAATCTTAAACAAATTTCTATATTTGTACCTGCATCTTCTTCAAACTCATGTAAATTTCTTCCATGTTCACTCAGAATTAACAACAAATCCAACCTAAAATAGCAAATAAAATGTTGACACAGAGATGTGGCCATGTCTATACAAACTACATACCAAATATCATGGACTTACCATTAGTGATTCCCCTTAAATTTACTGCACATTTTACTCCTTACGAAGAATATCATCCACATTAAAGAGACAAATCATGTACAGGTAATACAATAACACTTTCAAAAATATATGCAAATCATTAATGATGTCTAGGGCATGTGCCATCTCAAAGACTTATAATAGTCTGATCTATAAATTAACTGATCATGCCCTTTCCCCATTGTGACATTTTGACTAAGCCTTGATCTACATGGGAGGAAATGCATGCCTAGCAGGAGACACTTATCATGCTGATGCACTCTACCACACTTCTTTTGGAGGGTATGATATTCCCTCAGATGTTTTCATTTGATTTGAATATTCAAATTACGAGATTTGAACATGAGGTAAACTGTTGCCCGTTATATATACCATGTTGACTAGTTATTTTGTCCATCCATTATGTCCTTCCATTTAAACTTGTCAATGAAATGCATGGACTTACTGGCTGGAAAAAATTTATCAGTCCAAAAATACAATAAAAAATATAAATATTACTTATCAGCCTAAACTTGTCAATGAAATGCATGGACTTACTGGCTGGAAAAAATTTATCAGTCCAAAAATACAATAAAAAATATAAATATTACTTATCAGCCTACCAGGTAAGTCATTGTGACCTAGTCAGAAATCAAGATTACGGTATAAGAGGATGCAAATATTTCATAGTAATGTGACATCTGCCATGATAGAAATATAACCTTGTTGTAAAGAATAATCATGTAAAATATTTGATACTGTATAAATGACTTTAGAAAGAAATATACATTCCAGTTACAATTTCTCCTCTAATTGTATATATGTACATGATGTAAAATACATCTATATAAATACCTGTATGCTGTATCACTTGGTACTGTTAAACTTTCAATGACATGGAAAAAGAAAGCTCTCAGGATCCCTAAATACTGGTACTGAAATGATAACAAGTAAAAATCTCATTAATAAATTGAAAGAACCAAAGAAGTAATACATGTAATACATTCTGCTAACTATTGGCACTACACTCTCATCCATCTTTCTTTCAATTGATCGTAAGTAGTAAGTGATTAAACTTATTTCCTTTTCTTAATGAAAGATTGTTTGTGAGCACACCCCTACATTGTCACTGGACAAACAATATCTCGACAGATTACTAAGTTCAGACTCATAACTCTTACAAAAGTTAACTGATAAAAATTTCTTGTGCATATACACATCTACATATTAAGTCCTATCAACTACAAAGTTTCATAAAATTGTGTTGTGTGGTTTCAGAGGAGTTTCACTCAAAACTGATGCAGTAGTATATTTAGGTCAGTGTTCCAGCTTGAATCTCAGGGCAGAAGGGTGCTAGTTGTCTGAAAGGGCACTTTAGCGTTATAACCCAGATTTTAAGGGCACTGTTGGACAGTATAAATTACCTTGAATATTGCTAGGCTAAGCTGGAGAACATTAGTTGTATTTTATTTAAACTATATTCAGAAATTAATGTGTTCTTGATGTTGGTTCCAGTAAGAATTTTTTTTATCAAATTATTTACCATGAAGCAAAGCATATCATTTTGATGTTAATCTAAACAAACTTGTACATTTGGTAAGGAAAATAATCATCAGAAATTTCAATGTTTTACAGGCCTCAACAATAACTTTTTTTTCAACTTGCCCAATAGGACAAGTACATACCAAAACTTACTTGTCCGAATAGAATTGTAACTTGTCCAAAAAAAAAAACCTTTGTATTAACCTTTTTTGCATTTTAGGTTGATTCAATAAACAAAATGAATTAAAACAATAGAACATAATTTGATTTATATCTTTTGATATCCTTTTCAAAAATATTAGTCAAGAACAACTGAATCTAGTCATGTCTAGTCACAGGACTTAGGTTTTAGTTTTCATCAAGCCAAAGTCTCATCAGACTCTGCACATCAGGCACAGTCTGGTAGGCCTGTCAGTCTACACTCATTTGGTTTGTACATTTGTATTCTGGTCTTTTATGATGATAACATATTGATTATTATTACCATCAGCTTTGTTTTTAATATTTTAAAATGTTTATTCAAACACAATAAAATATTGTTTGTCTAAATATGATCAAATATGATTTTCTGAATTTTATGGTCAATTATTTCTTCATTTTTATTTTTCAGATATTTTTGCTAAATAAAATTTATCATATATTTATTATAAAGCAACAGAATAATGTATGGAAACGATGTACAGGTTTGTATTGGTCCCGAAATGTCTCCAACAGTGCCGAACTCTATATCATGTCTATTAAACATTGTGCCAATTCGTTTCCTCGCAGGTGCTGAACTGTCTTGTTACCTTATATATACAAAGTGAACCTGGTTTACGAGAATAGTATGCCTTTTATCTATTATAAAGTATCTGACAAAGAACCAGTTTTAAATTATCGATCGCAAGTAAACATGTCAAATTAAAATTTGTTTTTATCTTCTTTTCTTGTTTTTTGTTTATTACTTTGATCATCAAAGTTGGATGTTATTTATTTTCTACAGAATAATTTTACTTGTCCCGTCGGACAAGCTTGGTATGGCTTTTACTTGTCCGACCTTTTTTTCCTCTGGTACCGGACAATCGGACAAACGTTATTGTCGAGCCCTGGTTTAATGATTTATACCAGTCTATAAAAGTAAACAAGTAGTTTTGAAAGATGGAGTTATACATGCAAAATTGAATGTTTAATGTAATTAAATTATCTACATTTTTAATTACTTGTTCAAACATATAGTATATATGTTATTGAGAGTTATTTATTATCATTTGAATTGTTACAAAAAAGTATTTTTAAGTGCACACCATAGTGCTCCTCAGTAAGGAGTTTTATAAATATAACAGGTGAGACTGTAGATGATCATATCATATTGATGCAATACTATATTGCAGAAAATATAAACACTTACTTTTTTCTCCATCATTGTTACAAATAAATTTGTTGGAGTGCTCCTATGTCAGGAGGATTATAAAATACAAGAAGTAAAACAGGAAGTGAATCTTGTTATGTTCAAAGTACAAATTTCTTTGATTCTTCTTTAAATTTCATACTCATGGTTATGACACAAAACATTTTTACCAATCAAGTCAAAACTATGTATGCCTTTAAAATTGTTTAAGATTTTATTTTTTATGTTATGCCTACTGAAATAATTTTTTTCAGGTGTACATGCTGTTTATAAACATTACAAATGGATAACATGTGGACATTTCATTCTGTATTAAATATCTAGTATTTGTTCAATTATCTTAAATCCACTAATTAGCAGTAAACAATCATTAACAAAGGTGATAAAACTGCCAAAGCACTAGGTATTTAACTTAATCCCATTGTCAGTTAATTAGTGTTGCACAATCAGGTAACAATTTTACCGGAAACACTGGTAGGCATGAAATTTGGAAATTTTATTTTTTTGAAAAGGCAGAGGGGTGCATTCTTTTACTTTGTAGGGCACAAGGGTGGGGGTAAGGGCACCAATGGCTGGCCGCCCTTCTATTTAGGGCAGGCGGGAACACTGTAGGTCAAATTCTAAGTTCAAAGGGGCATTACTCCTAGAAAAAAAATGTAATCATAATTTCCTGTCGTTAAGCACATCTAAGTAGTATGTCCTTATTATCTACAAAGTGACATGAAATTCTGTGGACTTGCGATGACAAGAACAGGACTACTGGGTCAAAAACATTATACCCTTTGCAACGTTGCGAAGGTAAAAAAAACTGTTTGCTTTGTATTAGACAAACAAAAAAATTATACTTTAAATATGGTAAATGAATAATAATTGAGTTTACTATATCAAAATTTTAAAAGCTGAAAACTAAGACATTTTACCTGTCCTTCTAGAAGGCATTTCAGGAAATGTAAGGCAACAATTCTACTCTCTGATGGTGATGTACTCTGTACTAAATCTTTAATACTATGCCATAATGCTTCAATTGCATTCTGTAAAAGAACCATTTGTCAATTATGGATCACTAATCAAGTACAAGAAGCCCTATAGCTAGTGAACACAAATATGTAACAAACAATCCCACATTAAGGCCATTTAAAATTAATTAATAGATTTTCATCCACCCTAGGTCTCTGAAATCGTCCCTGTTTACATCTGCAAATTAATTTCTTCTTTACATCATTGAGTTTATCTACATTTGTATCCACTGAAAGACAAAACAGGGTCATTCTAAACCTGTAAAATTTGGTTAAAAATTTTTTGTTATATAAATATATATTCTATCAACCTATTTTAATCATCATGATTGTACTGAATTTCTTACCTCCTCTAACCTTTTAACTTTCACCACATCACTTAGCTCTCTTATTGTTCTAAGTCTATTATTTGCAGGACTTTCAGGGCCTATCTCCTGTAAAAATGAACAAAAGTGAAACAAACAAAAAAATGTGTACATTGAACAAGTAACAAATTATACTTACATGTATATAAAGCATTATTTTGCTCTTTAGTACTAATCTGCAGACTACTGCATTAGATTTAGTACAAATCAAAACTAAATGTGGTTGTATAATAATATGAATGCCTCACTTGCAGCCTAATTATGAAACGGGTTCCACTAGTATACACCCCTGCCACTGCCACTTACATTTTTGTAGAAGTGGCAGGGGCATTAAACATTGTTCTCCCTAGTATTTTCAAAAACCACCATGAGTTTTGATAATAGCACTGTTTCTCTAAAACTATATCACCCCATTTATAACAAATTATATTATAACCAGAAATCTCCATGGTTAACAAAATATAGCAATACGGTACCAAGTTAGAGTTTTGAGGCCTCACATGATAAAAAACTTGCTTCAATCTAATTAAGAAACAAGAGTGCACATGGTGAAATTTCTTGCCTGTCTTACTTATCATGTTTGAATTTATGTTGAAAGTCTGCTGTATGAAAGTTTAACAACAAGAATCACATAAACTTAACATTGACCAATGAACCATGTAAATGAGGCCAAGGTCAGATGAACCCTGCCAGACAAACATGTACACCTTACAATCATACCATTCACTAATATGGTTAGCATTTTGCTTAATTATAGTATCCAAGAAACAGACCTATTTTTTTCTTAAATGAACATGGACTAATGAACCATGAAAAATGAAAAATGAGGTCAAGTTCAGATGAACCCATCCAGACAGACATGTACACCTTACAATCATTCCATACATCAAATAGTCAGCTGAATTTAGTTAACCTATTGTTTATAGTATCTAATAAACGGGCAAAACCTTGAAACTTAACATTGACCAATGAACTGTGAAAAGAGGTCAAGGTCAAATGAAACCTCCCAGACAGACATGTACACCTTACAATATAGGTGATCTATTGTTTATAGTATTCAAGATATGGACTTACCATGAAAACTTCACCTTGATCACTGATCCATGAAATCAGGTCACGGTCAGGTGACCCCAGTCTGACTGTCATGTAGACCTTGCAAGGATCCCATATTCCAAATATAGTTATCCTATTACAGCATTTCACATGACAAATAAAACTAATATAAAAATAATAAGATGTGGTATGATTGCCAAGGAGACATCTCTCCACCAGAGACCAAATGACACAGATGTTAACAACTATAGACCATTGTACAGCCTTCAACAATGAGTAAAACTTATAGAAAATAGTAAGCTATATAAGTACCTAAAATAACAAATGTAAAACAATTCAAACGAGAAAACTAACAGACTAATTCATGTACAAAACAATAAACAAACATTTGGTTTAGGCAAACTCAAGTTAGAGAACTGAAACCAATTTTGTGACGTACGGATGTACAATGTACATATGTAACAGTGGGTTGATTCCGCCAGTGTACTTTATCTGGAGGAAGAAAATCCCCAGTGATTTTTATCCACCAAAAATTCACTAGGTTTTTCTATCCGGGTCCAGTGTAAAACATCCACCAGTCATTATAAGGTTCTAAAAAGGATTTTTTGAAGGAGAAATATATATAAAATGTGACTTAATAGTTTTTAGTGTATTTGAAATTTGCATAGCTGATTTATATAAAAAATGGAGAGTTTTCATCCAAGGAATGTTCACACTAGCGTTTTTGAACCAGGAATGATTACACTAGTGATTTTGTACCGGAATGATTGCACTAGTTATTTTATACCGGGATTAATTACACTAGTGCTTTAGATCCATACATTGATGAAGTGATTAGTACTCATTTTGAACACACGATAACACAATAATGCTTATTAACGAATAAGATTTAAATAATTTTTCTATGCAAATCTATAAAATCATATGCTTTTAAATTGTCACTAATTGTAGTATTTATATTTATTGGGTTGCCGAAGTTTTTCTGTGTATTTGCTCTTCGGTCGATTTGGATATAAAATCATATCTTCTATGTCAATATCAAAGGATGCTTCTATAATTGAAACTTTATGTAAGAACAAATCTGCTCTTTAAATTTGGTTTATATCAAGTTCAATGTCCTGATCATTGATAAAGTATTTTGAGTTATAAAAATATCCTCCTCGTCATCATCAATATTATTTACTAGATTGACTCAGATTAATTAAACTGGTTCCTTGAAAATTATTTTAATTTTAACCCATTTATTTATGTAAACAAAAAACGGTCTAATATAAACAAAACAACAATATCAAGATCGACGCTTTCACACTATTTACATCCAATATTCTCTAGTGAAAAACAGCTACCCGGAATAAATACTTGGCGGAATGAAAGTATGCTTACACATACGTACGTACGTACGTACAGACGGACAAGGGTAAAACTTAATGCCCCCTCCGCTACGGCAGGGGCCTAAAAACAATTATGATATACAGTAACAAACAATAACACTTTTTTAAGAAGTCGCTGAACCTTCATAACATAATCTTCTGCGCCAAAGTATTTCTGAAGCACAATGGTCTAAGAAGACAGTGCTTTGTAACCTGTGTATGCAGCTATTATAGCTACTAATTTTTCTACACAATTGCAGGGCCTAATCTAGGATTTTGGAGAGGAAGAAGTGACTTATCCTTCCATGAGAGAGAAGGAGAAGTGGTCATTTTCTTGGAGAAGTGAGATTCCATTACCTTTTCGGTTGCATAGTGTTCTTGTGCTTATCACTACGGAAATTGTTTTATATGCAATAAAAAATATACTTGCAGTTTTTTCATGTTATTGTACAAAAAGTTTATATAGAAAGTTCTTAATAAAAAGGTTTAGACAATATAGTTGTTATTTATTCATTGATACCATTTGTACTGTCAACTTGAATTTAAGTTTAAATAAAATTTGTTGCTTGGGACATGAGGGAGTAGCCTAGTAATATTATGATGCATTAAATTCATGTGTATCTGCCTCAATTTATTTTTAAATGTCCAGAAAAATATGACTTCCAGTTTACCTGATGAATTTCACATGACTGGGAATTTAATTTATATCACCACTTGTCATTATTTTGTAAAACATTATTGAATGTCCAGGACATCATGTTACATGTATTTGTAAAATGAGATTCTCGTTATAGATTGTAAGCCTATGAATGAAAATATCTGTCAATCACATATTAATTAACTGATAAACAGCTAATTTCTATCATTTTTTAAAGATACATTGTATCTTCCCTATCAACGAAATGGTCGTGAAAAAAAATCCACTGCTGATCACAGCTGGTCGAGTGTCGTACGTTTGCAATCACATTATCTATCAGCTGTCTTTCTACCTTCTATATTTCAATTTTTATTCAATGAGTATAATTAATCTACCGTTAATTCCCACCCTTAACCTACCGAATAGTACAATTTGATCTACTCAAAATAAATAAAAATAAAACAAATCAGCTGAGTGATTACGCAACATCCTCAGATAAAAATCATCGTAAAATGATAACTTTAACAGACGGTCAGTTTTCCGTTTGAATAGTTTTGAATGTTATATCGGAGGATGTTCAAAGTTGCCGTTGTATTTATTTAATTTGATTGTCGACAGTATAAGTACTGGGTCGTTTCAAAAATCTTGATTTTCCTTGTCAGTCGCCATTCTTTTTACCTGGGAGACTTGTAATTCACAAGTTGTCTCCCTTTTACCGATTTTCATAGTGATTTGACTTCGCCATGAAGTCAGTCGGCTGGCGAGATTTAGCAATTTTCAAAAATCTTTGGTGACTTAAATCATCATTTCGCTGGCAAGATTATGGCCTGCAATTGAATAACTACAAGAATCATGCAAATAAAAAAGGAGAAAGGGCTAATTAGCTGATCATCACAGTGAGTATATACCATAAAGAAAAGATAACACACTATTTCTAGAGTCAAATACCCACACGCATTTTCACCACAAAAAAAAAATGTTACCCTTAAAAATTACATGAAAATGTTGTTGCGCACTGAAACCCCTATGGAGATTTTCAAGAGATAGTACATGTAGGTATGCGTTTTGAAACAAGCATTTTACCCTCAAACGTTCTGGGGTGAATACTATTTCTTTAGTTTGGCTCTTTTGAAAGGTGATTGCTTTATCCTTTTCCTTTGAGAATCCTAGTAAATTCTTTATTTTATCCTTTAAATTATCTTCATTTTTCCCCTTTGACATGTTCTTCGCCACGAATGGCACGAGAATATTGGTTGTCCCTTGAGTACTTGAAAACCAATGAGTTCCTTAAGCAACTAAAAAAAAGAGTAAAATTTTAAACAAATATTAATCCTAATAAAATATTAAAGTTTGTATATCTTTTTTCTTATTGTTAAAATTTTAAATTTAATTTTCTTTCAACCTTTGGAAAGTTAGGAGAGTGTGATTTAAAACTACTCTTGGATTAACAACGACTGAAAAAAGAACAACTCGCCCTACAACAAACTCGCCCCAACTTCCATTAACTCGCCCCACTTTCACCAACTCGCCTAATTTTAAAAATAACTCTCACAATCTCGCCCAGTGATGAAAAAAAAAACGCAAAATCATCCCACCTGTGATATGAAATTTTCGTTTTTAATTGTGAATTTTCCATAACACTCTTTTTAAACAAGGCTTAAAAAACGAATACTGATAAAAAGCTTAGAAGACAACCCGGGCATAATAGTCAGCTGTGTGTCTTCTTTTTTTTCGTGATGGTGCAGGAAATATCGATTCTGGTCTGCAAGACCAAGAGACCAAAACCAAATATTTTATTTCCTCAGACACAATTAAACGTGTACAAGAGGTCTACAGAAGTACTGTCGTGAGTATTAAAATAACTTAAATCATGACATGTAAGTTAATTAGTCCTGTTCTTATATTAAATGACCAATTACATTATTTAGGTGCTTAATTTGAAAAAAATAAGCTTGAATTTTCTTGATCAGAAAATCAATATAACCAAATAAAACTCCACGGTGAACAGCATTTTCGTCCATCTCTGAACAAATTTTCTTTTTTTGGTTTTGATTCAATGGACAGTTGAAAAATATAATGGGACACGTCTTTGTATTTTGAAGACTGCTGTGAGTTGCTATATTTGATAGAAATAATTTAAAAAAATCGCGTTTTTGTCATAACATTTAAGGAATACATAACTAAAATAATTACGGGGATATGGACTAGAATAAACATAGACTTACCAAAATTACAAGTACGATGGTGTCATCGGTTACTGGAATCGCACTACAGCGTCTCTACAGGAGAGTCGCACACAACACAAGGGAAATTATGAATGCATGAGAAATGCTACTTTTTTTTATTCATAATGTTTTAAACCTAGAAATACAGTTTTTATTTCAAAGCATAAACAATTATTACAAATCAGTTTTTGTTAACAGCCAAACCTGTTTTTATTCTGACTGCATGCTTTTGCTACATCGAGTATTGTTTTTTTTAATATCATGCGAATGTTATTCAATAACAAACATTTTACTCTTGAATTCAATGTTGTACTTTTTGTAATGTTGAACCATTTTGATAGGCGCCTGGGGTCTTGTATAGGATAGGTACTCAATACGCTTGGGTCTTGTCATGATAGGATAGGTACTCAATACGCCTGGGGTCTTGTATAGTTGGGAGAAAATAAACACAGACTATCACAGATCTGCTAACAACACCAATTTTTCCTAAATGACAAAGAAAAGAACCCAAAAGAACCTATATGACTCACCAAGCAATTTGCACATGAATATTTGTTTTAACGGAAACTGTATGAACAATTTTTGATGGACCGAGTTTTTGTTTATCAGTTATATTTTTCAAGATGATAGATAGAATGGAAAAGGGTTCCAATTGTGATTACGGAGCAACAACTCATGTAACGAGTCGATTGACGTTTTCTTTCATGTTGATTTATTTGTAGATCGTGTGTTGTTGATCATTTTGCTATTGCTATTAGGAGTCAATTGGACATCTCGATCATATTGAATAGTTGTAGATCTTGTCTTGTTGATCTTTTTTTGCTGTTTACAGTTTATCTCTGTGTACGTTAATAATTTTCATCAAAACACAAAAAAATGTGTAAAACTCGTTCATGAAGGAATATAACTCATAAAAGGAGTCGACCGGTGATTTATGGCCATGTCAATCATGTCTACCCTAGTTTCTTTCTTTATAGTTTTTAGATTATAACCGAACATCAGCATAAATTTTCTTTTTAGCTGTTTACAATTTCTCTCTTTCTACTTGAATAGTTTTCACCCAAAACACATTGATGGGGAAAAAATGTATTGAAGGAAATCTATTTCTTTGCGTTCCGTTATGTCATTAAGGGGGTTTCCCTTAATTACTTGGTATTTTTCGCGGGTTATGTTTTTGCACGGATGGTTTCGGTTGAGGGTATATAAGGAATTTGTATGGGTCCGTTCGATTAATGCGACGTTTGTTACAAAGTTGGAAAGGACGTGTTATAAGAATATTCCAGTTGTTTGCGTTAGCTTTCCCTCCCTCCCCCTCCTTCTAGTAGTAGCTTTGTACTCTTGATACTTATGTGATTATATAACATGTTGACATTGATATATATATGTATGATCTTTATTGTTTTTTTGTTGACTCGTTCATTATATAAAATTTATGCGATCTTTGTAACGAACGCACAACCCATTTTCTTGTTTGTTGTTTATTTTAGTTAGTTCAGAAAATATTTATTTTAGTACGAATGAAATGAGGAAGAAAATAAAATTACTGATATAAGGAGTTAACTGATGATTTTGGCTGATGATGTCGATCTTGTTTACATGATCACTTAAAATTAGCTTTTTAAAGTTTCAATCTGCGAAATACTATAGTTTTTGTTTTTAAAGATTATAGCCAAAACAAATACAAAAAAATATAGGTAAAGATCGTAGTTTGAGGACAATAACTCATTAAGTCGACTACCGATTTTCGACCGTTTGATTTATTTGAAGAAACTGGGGCAAGTTTGCTGTGAATTTTTGCTATTTACCGTGAGTTTTCTCTGAAAATGATTACATACCAATGGACAATCAACACTCATACGTCGAAGGAAGACGGATAAAACCATGGCCAACAGAAAATTTATTAAAAGACAAGTAGAAATCCTCGACTTATTCCATGAATTATAGTGAATTTGAAGTCATTTCTTTGGACACCAATTGGATTTGGTTTACCGTAATTGAATATAGGCACTGGCTACGGTTACATTGAAATGTAACAATAATAAAAAAGTTATTGTTACATTGGAGACTAATTGCCGGAATGTAGGGTTGGGTAAGGAACTGATTAATTACGAATGTAACAATAATATTCGTGTCTACGGTTACGTTGTGTTATTGTTACGTTAGATTTATTAAACTTTAATCTTCTATAGTTTTGTTGCTTACTGTAAATTCAGAAATTATTGCGATGTTTTTATTATTGCGAAAAATGCGACAGGGTAATAATCGCAATAATTTAAACTCGCATTTTGACATTTTCTATATGAATTAAACAGGATTGTTCTCAATATCGCAAAAATAAAAATCCCATTTTAGTCTAAAATAACAAAATCGCAATAATAAATGCACGCAATAATTTCTGAATTTACAGTAATTCTTCGATATGTACTTGATAATAATAGTAATAATAATAATAATAATAATAATAATAATAATGATATTATTATTATTATTATTATTATTATTATTATTGTTCAACAAATAGTGTTTAAATAGTTTTGAGTATTAATTGTTTTAATGTTCTTCAAGATACTACTACAGTTTAGCAGTGCCAAAGGTGAAAAATATAGTTCAAAGGGATGGTTCTATGTAAAGAAGAAAATGTACCCTTATTACTGTCATTATACTTTGAACAATGGATGAAGTGACACCTATTACCAAAACAGCCATTGTAAATAAAAATTAAAAAAAATGCATGTAATATTGTAAAATTCAAATAAAAGTTTTCAAGTTTTATTTTAATACATATTACTAGTCACAGCATACATTGAAGTGCATTAATGTAACAATAACACAAAGTAACCGTAGACACAAATATTATTGTTACATTCGTAATTAATCGATTCCTTACCCACCCTGCATTCCGGTAATTAGTCTCCAATGTAACAATAACTTTTTTATTATTGTTACTTTTCAATGTTACCGTAGCCAGTGCCTTGAATATATGTGTCGTCTCGGGTATCCCAGTTGTCGTATACACATTTTGTAGACATCACGTCCATTCTTTCCTTTGTTTATGGCATACCAAATGCGAGTTACCATCGGACTTTTGTTTGTCACGAGCAACACGACATGTGCTATGTTGTTTGCCAAACCGGAGCATCTTTGTTCACTCACGGATTTTAATGGGTTCGTCGAAGAAATGACTTCAACATAACCATTAAGAACCCGCGTTTTAAATAGCTTCCTTGAAAGTAAAAGTCCTTTGTCAAGGAAATTATTATCCGATCCTGCCTTGGCGTTTCATATAGCATTTAGTATGCCCATTGTTCATTGTTCTAGGTTTGAAAACAGCCTTGCAAAGATCAACTCGATCCAACACTGTGTCTACGTCAGAAGACAGAACCGCTGTCTGTAGTTCACATACTTATCTTGTTGGTAAATATCTGTCATGATATGGCCCACTTAAAACTCTTACTAGCTTTTGAAGTTCTGGTAAAAACCGAGATGTCTTGGTATATCTCTACTGTTTTTCACAAGACAGCTTTTTAAATTCCTCTCTGTCGTACGCTTCATATTGTTTCTTGACGATGAGTTACCACAACTCGATTGTTCCTATATGTATCCATTAACCAAGATGTCGTATTTATTAAATATAAATTTAAAGGAGACTGAATAAGATGTCGTATCTTCAGATCGTAATCCAAACAATTAAAATATCGAAATAAACAAAGATTACGTTTTTCTCGGTCGCCCATGCTAGTCTTTTGAAGAAACATCCACCTTGAGAAAGATCCGTTTTATTTTTATTTTTTACATGTGTTGGGTGCTTAAATTCGACAAAAGTCTATGTATATACAACCATTTTCAATTGTACATCAAACAAAACGAATTGCAGCTACAATTCATAGACTTGTTTACTCTGTTAAAAACAAATAATACCGCGTAAATAGCTAGGTATAAGTCATAATAGGGCTTTTTTAAATTTCCATACGTGGAATACAAATCTGTGTATTTGTGTTAGATTTTTTTTTAAAGTTTTGACAAGTTTATGATGT